CTCTGGTGAAGCCTCTCACCGCCCTTGAGCCTCTGGCCTGTACCCCAGCTCTGTATGCACAAATAAATAAATCTTAAAAAAAAAAAAAAAAAAAAGACAGCCAACCAAACAGGAGAAAGTATTTGCAAATCATGTTTGATAATGGTTAATATCCAAACTACAAAAAGAACTTGTGCAATAGCAAAAGATAATCAGAATAAAAAGTATGCAAAATATCTAAGATATTTTTTCCAAAGAAGGCATACAGATGGCCAAAAGGTATAGGAAAAAAGATAGCTATCATCACTAATAGGGAAATGCAAATCAAAAGCACAGCGATCACCTCATACCTTGAATGTAAGAATGGCTATTATCAAAAAGGCAAGAAATGCAAGTCTTTACAAGGATGTGGAGAAAAGGGAACATTTGTGCATTGTTATTTGGGAATGTAAGTTGAGATGGCTACCATGGACAGCACTGAAGTCCCTCAAAACTGAAAATTAAATTATCATATGATCCAGCTGTCACTTGCGGGTATTCATCTAAAGAAAATGAAAAGCATAACTAACTGGAGATTTACCCCCATGTTCACTGCAGCTTATTTACAATAACCAAGTTCTAGAAACAATCCTAAGTCCCTACCAGAGGATGAACAGATAAAGAAAACTAATGTGTATCTGTGTGTATAATGAAATTTTTTAATTTTTAGTTTAAATAACTGAATTATAACTTTATGTTTCAGGTACCATTTTGCACCATTAAAAATTAGTTTGAGGGCCCTCCATGGTGGTGCAGCGGGTTAAAGCAAAGCACTAAGAAGCTAAATCCACTTCAGCATGAGTTTGATCCCCGCCCCAGAGCTGACCCACATGTCGTGGCAGACCTCCCTTGACCTGCCCACTGCTCCCCTCAGTAGTGTACTTCATCAATCTGCCTGTTCTGCTCCCCAATCTGTTTCTGGTGAATCCTCTCACTGCCCCTGCACTTCTGGCCTGCACCCCAGTTCTTTATACATAAATAAATCTTTTTAAAAAAAATCATTATGTGTATATATACTACTAAGTTCATCATAAAAGCCAAATTCTACCTTTTATCATAAAATTGACTCCTTATACCAACTTACACCTCCTTCTTTCCCCTTTCCTGCTGATAACCAGTAAGTGGTATTAAAGTCTAAACATTTATTTTGCTTATGTACCATAAACAAAATCACATGGTATTTGTCTTTCGCCATCTGACTTATTTCATAAATCCATATTGTTGTAAATGACAGAATTTCATATTTTTTCTTAAAGATTTATTACAACACCAGAGGTGGGTTGTAGGCCAGAGGTGAGTGTGGGGTGGGGAAAGTTGGGTTAGGAGTAAGGGTAAGAGGATTCACCAGAAAAAGCATGGGGAGCAGAACAGGTAGGTCTACTAAAATACACTATTAATGGAAGCAGTGGGCAAGACAGGAGAGGTCTGCTGCACCATGTGGGTCAGCTCCCTAGCTGGGGATCGACCTTGTATTGCAGTTATAACAGGTACAGGTTTCATGGACTCCGCCCCCCACTCCAGATACTGGAACTCCAAATCCCATCAGTACCAAGGAGAAGCACCCTGGGATGTGAGGGCGGAGCTGAGCAGCCAGGCTGGGATAAAACCGGACATGTGGGCTCTGGGGGGGGCTTGACCTGGTGGTTTGCAGCTGATCGTTTTGGCTCTCAATCGGTTTTCAGCGTGCCGTGGAGTCCAAGTCAGCAGAGCTGGTTGGACATCCTAGTTAACCTGTGTTTCTCTCGCTCTTTCCCTGAGTTATTACTTTACCTTTCTCCTTATAAATAAATCCATTATTTAACCTTTTTGAATGTGTCCATAATACGATTGCATCGTAAGTGCTCAGGTGAAGACCCACAAACAGGCAACCCAATTCACATTGGGGTATCCTGTAACAGATTGGCACCCAACGTGGGGCACCAAACCTGTTATAGGACAGCAAATCTGTTCCAGGACAGGGGGAGAGGGACACCCCTGAAACCCCAAAATCTGCCTGCTCTAAGTGGGTTCTGCCATCCGCCGCAACAAGACAAAACATATAAAACTTTAATGAAAAGGGACTTTAATACAGTAAATACGGAACACAAAGAATATAACTTCTAAATCAAACACCTGAAGTTACCCATCCCCTCGTGGGCAAAAGTCAACCCAAAAGGGCATTGGCCCAAAGCTAAGGCCTGAAAGCCTGCCACTAGACTAAAGCACCTTCTGGCGGGGACCCAAGGAAAAGGGTCAGAAATGGCCAGGCAAATCTGAGAACAAAAGAGCAAAATCAAAATCAATATAAACACTGCCATAGTCTCCTCCCTACAGGTATCTCACCCACATCTGCCTTAACCAATCCAGGATTAGGAAACAAGCCTGGCTTCTTCATCACATGCTTGCTGCTCCATGTGGCTTCCTTAAGTCTCCTCCTTCTCCATCCGGCTTCATTTCCTTCTCTTCTCTCCCTTTTCTCTGCTCAGCTCCACCCTCCTTCTGGGTGGGGCAGGGAACCTGGAACTTCCCTTTTTCTTAGGAACCACCCTGTTACACAGTGGCTGCCAACAGCTTCATAGTATTGACACTTAACTCCCTGTACCACCAGGGAGGCCCCAAATTTCATATTATTTTATATACAAATATTCTATTGTGTGTATATATACATCATCTTCATCCTTATCCATATCATATGTTGATGGGCTGATCCAGCGCTTGGCTGCTAAATTATGCTGCAATAAAAATGGAGATACACTGACACAAGCTATGCAACCTCTATCGACTGACATATTCCGGATAGAGACAGAAGTGCTCTGAAAAATCAGACTCTTCACGCTAACTTATGTTATGACCTCCTTTTTTTGTATAATCATAATATCAAAATATTCTGAGCAACCTTCAGCTTACAATTGGGTTGCTTCTGCCTCATAAGGTGCTAACTGGCCCTGACAAGGAAGTACTGCACCAGGGTGAGAAATTCCTCTTAAAGTCAAAAGTGATTTGACAACTGGCTGATTAATAAAAACAAATGGCAGTTACTGCAAAGTCTCACAGCCAGACTGGAGGAAAACAGAAACCTTATCACTCTATCTCACACAGTCTTCTATTCAGTTTCTAAAGAATCACTCAAGCTTCCTGCTATCTAGTCCTTAGATATGGAAATTCATCCAAGTGGCCTATTCAGAGCTAATCAGGTTTTCTACCATCTAGACTGCAAGGAAACTCATTTAAACTTTCTAACAAGTTTTTCAAAGAACCTTACCTTAATTTGATTTACAAGAAATTTCCTCTTCCTGCCCTCACTTTACTTTACCCCCTAGGATGTCTTTATGAGAATGAAAGCCGTTAAATAATAGATAATGTTTCAGACTTTATTTTGGTTAATCTTCACTGTGGTAAATATAGTAATATTAATCTTAAACTTTGTGTCTGTGTACCTGTTTAACCTTGATAGATTGATTTTAAAAATGTTATAATCTCAACAAAGGTAAAAAAAAAAAAAAAATGACCCCAGACTATTCTTAGAAGAAAGGTGATTGTGATCTCAGCCCATTTCATATGCTAATATCATCCCTCAGCTTGCTTAAAATGTATAAAATAAACCTCTTGCTGAAGGCAGAGCAGGAAGACTTGCAACCAACTCCCATTCCCTTGTCTTCCTCAAACACGCTGCCCTTTTTTTCCTTTTCCCCCTTTTTTAGGAATCTCAGCTAGCCGACGTCATTCCCACCGTGAGACCCTGCCTGTTCTGCCTCCCAATAATCTGTGATCGGGGACACAGATCTCTCTGAATTAGTGTTTTTATATTTTTCATGTAAATACCCAGAAGCAATATTACTGGATCATATGGAATTTCTGTTTTTCGTATCTCAAGGATCCCCATACTACTTTCAATAATGTCTACACCAATTTACATCCAAATAATGTTCAAGGGTGCCATTCTTTCCACATTCTCACCAACACTTGTTTCTTTTGAATAATATCCATTCTCACAGGTATGAGGTGATATTACATTATTGTTTTGATCTGCATTTCCCTAAAACAAAACTTTGCTATTTGTGACAACCTAAATGTACCATAAAGGCAATATGCTAAGTGAAATAAGTTACAAATACTGTATGAACTAATTTACAGTAAAATCTAGAAATAAGCAGAAAAACCCACCCTGTTCATAGAAACAGAACAGACATAGGCTACTAGAGACAGAGACTGAGAAGTGAAAGAAATGGGTAAAGAGGATCAAATAAACATATGGGGATGTAAGTACAGTATGATGACTGTAGTTATTAATACCATATTGCATTTTTGAAAGCTGCTAATGATCTCATCACAAGAAAAATAAGTCTGTATCTATATAAGGCACAAGATGTTAACTAAACTTATTGTGATCACTTTGCAATATAAAGTTTGGAAAAGTGATCACTTTTACATAATTTTAATACAACTATCAAATCACTCTGCTGTATACCTGAAACTAATATAATGCTACGTGTCAACTAAACTTCAATTCAAAAAAAGACTGGAAATTGAATGTCCACCAAGATATTCATGTTTAAAGTCTAGTGCATCCATAGACTAGAATTCTATAGAAGTGCCCAAGTATTGATATGGAATGATGTCTAGGTCATACTATATGCAAAAAAGCAAAGTAGATTTCACATGCAATAACTGCTATGGGAAAGAATCAGGAACTGGGGAGTAGACCAGAAGCATGGGTGTAAAAGAATTTATCAGAGACAGAGCAGAGAATAGAAAAGGAAAAGTTACTGAAATACATTGCTGAGAAGAGTAGTGGGCGAGACTGGAGAAGGTCCTTCAGGCATCACTCACTGGCTACAATACCCAGCCACGTGTGTCCTGGCTCATGGTCAGGATCACTGCCCCGTTTCCAGGGTAGTCCCATTCACTACTCATCCATTCAAGCTTCCCAAACTTCCCTATTGGGCAAGAAGTGGGGGCTTAGCTTTTAGTCTTAGTAATGATACCCTGACAATAACTAAATTACCACAAGAGGTGTGGTTATATGGCGGTACTTGTATGTGCACACAAATCTAGAAGGATTTTAAAATTTATAAACATATTGCCTATAAATAATTTGAAGTAGGATATTTTTCACTAGATAGTCTTAGACTTTTTGACTCATATGAATTTATTACCTATTCAAAAGTTAATTTTTCAAACATTAAGATTTTAAAACTTCAACTAAAATAGGAATATTACATCATTCTTTTCAACTTACCAATTCCTGTTATCTCTTTTTTAATCAGTTGTAACTCCATATGTTGGATTTTTATTCTTACTAATAAGAAGTAAATTTTTCCAACAATGACATCCTTTAAATGATACCTTTGGGAAAGAATATACTTATTAGTTTAAAAGACAAAAATGAAGTAAGTCCTGAAAGGCTTTATTAGACATCTGTAGGATACTAAGAATAACACTTTGACTATATTGTTTAATGTTTCTTTTTTCAAAACAAAACAAAACAGTGTTCATCACCTTACTATTAAACAAACAAACAAACACTGACCATCAGTATAATACAGCAGGAAGAACTGGCCTGATTGTTGGTCCTTACTGAGAGGAAAACTTAGTTTTCAAAGTACTAACTGAATGGAAAACAGATTTTCATGCTTGAAATATATTTTTTAAAGATTTATTTTTATGCATACAGAAATGGGGTACAGACCAGAGGTGCAGAGGCGGTGAAAGGATTCACCAGAGGCAAAGTGGGGAGCAGAACAGGCTGAGTAACTGGAATACAGTGCTGAGGGGAGCAATGGGTGGGACAGGAAAGGTCTGCTACACCATGTGGGTCACCTCCCTGGCTGGATCGAACTTATGCTAAAGCAGCTATTGTCACAGTGCTGAGCTTCAACCTGATGTACCTCCAGGGAGGGCCCGCATGAGTATTTATTTGGCACATGAATATCTTTTTAAACATTAAAAACTCAACCAATAGTTTAGTGTCATTATTAATCTAAGTGCTGGAACAGTTCAGCTAACAAACCAGGCCACAAATGGGGGCTCCACAGGTTGGTTTGTTGCTCTATTATCTAATAATTTAAGGATAATAATCTAATAATTATCAGGTGCCTTGAAATGATGATATGAGAATTTCAACAATACCTACAGCCTTCTCCCAGGTTTGAATCTCAAAATAGCTGAAATGCAATTTTGTCAGTCTGAAGGCTTTAACAAGTTTTTAGGACCCAAACTATCTGATAATTTTATTAACAACATAATTTAAGACTTTGAAGGCATGTTATCATATTTTTAGTGACAACCAATAAAAAAATGAAGTAACAGAAGAGTGCATTCATCAACAAACAAACATTAATGAAAAAAGCAAGGGGAAGCTATCAATTAAAAGAGTCATGGCCCTCCCTGGTGGCGCAACGGGTTAAAGCACAGCACTAAGAAGCCTAAGCCACTTCCCTATGATTCGATCCCAGCCTGCCCCAGAGGTGATCAACATGGTGCAGCAGACCTCTCCTGACCTGCCCGCTGCTCCCCTCAGCACTGTACTTCTGCTCCCCTCAGCACTGTACTTCATCGATCTGCCTGTTCTGCTCCCCACTCTGTGTCTGCTGAATCCTCTCACCCTCCACATCTCTGGCCTGAACCCCAGTTCTGTATGAATAAATAAATAAATCTTAAAAAAAAAAAAAAGAGTCAAACAATGTTTTTAGATGTACTGGATTGAATAAACTTATTTGGATTTATTGAATTGATAAATGTAAGCCATATTTGACTATTGATATGCACAAACCACATGGAGGAAAAAAGGATGTTTTTGACACAATTTAGGAAATATGAACACTGGCTACATATATAAAGATATAAAGGAATTACTAACATTTTTAGATATACAGTATTCTGGTTAGATGGAAGATATATAAATTTTATGGGTAAGATTATGCCTTCAACTTGCATTAATATAAACTTCAACAAGTGTGGAGACTGAATATAGTTCTTCCCATGCCTGTGTTGACAGCTGCTAGAACCAGGCATAAGTATAAACTTTGGTATGTTTGACATTTACATAATAAAGTGCAAAAAGACATTAAACAACAAAGATCCCATTTCTGTAAAAATACCATGTATATAAACATATGACAGCCTCCCCCCCACTTACAGAAAAATTACAAGAATATATTCACTGAGATTAAATAGGAAAGATGACAATATGGCATTTATATTTCCTTTGACTATTGCCAAAACTTTCAATAGTTAGTCAGAAAAAAACTATTTTTTGTTGCCTTTTTAAGTATATATGCTAAACTGACATCAAGTCAGTAAGATAAGTTTTTACAGACATAAGTATTAGTTACCCTGAAATGGTGAGATCATCTTAAAAAAAAGTCTAAGCAGACTTATTAGGAATAAATTACAAGAGACACTTGCACTGAGTTAGACACCAGATCAAATACCTAAGTTCCTTTCAGCTCACAGATTTTGATGGCTTGTTGACATCAGATTAATGTCAACTCTTTCCTACTTTGATTAATTTGTAAAAACCTGAAAACCGTATTTCTTAATTTTCAACGAACATTTAAGATACTCGTGATAGGTACTTACTTTGATTTATTATATTCAAATTCTATGTGTAAGCAATCTTCAATGCCCACTTCCATCTTTATAGAATTGTTAACATCAGGATAGGTTGCAAGCTGGTGAACAATAAGATCATATTCTTTTACCAAGTCTGTCAGTCTTCTTACTATTGTCACTTTAAGAAAATACCTATGAAATTAATGGAGAAAACAAATTACATCTTCCATGATAAATTTCTGTGTTTTAAATAGGCAAATATTAACAACTTGGCTTTCCCCCATCAAAACTCCTTACTTCGTGAAGTTGTTCTAATTTTTAAATGTCCCCACCATAAAAAATAAAGATCACAGACTGCTGAATAGCAGAAGTAGGGGGAGGGAGGAGAGTATGGTACTACCTTTTTTTTTTTTAAAGATGTATTTATTTATGCATACAGAACTGGGGTCAAAGGTGTGATGGGTGAGAGGATTCACCAGAGACAGAGTGGGGAGCAGTACAGGCAGATCTACTGAAGTACACTGCTGAGGGGAGCAGCAGGCAGGTCAGAAGAGGTCTGCCATGCCATGTGGGTCAGCAACCTAGCTGGGGATTGAACTTGTGTTGAGTGGCTTTGGAGAGCTTCATAATGTGGTGCTTTAACCTGTTGCGCCACCAGGGAAAGCCCAGTACATACATTTTAAGTGAGTTTGGATAGTTATCACCAAGCCTACTTGAGGAACTCTCTAGATCATTTCTTAACCATGTATTAAATGAGATTCATTGGGAAACTGTGGACTTAGAGGGTAATTCTGTTTATGCAACAAATGAAGTACCTAAGCAGTAACTGAAAAGACAAATATATGACTCAAATGTTTCATAATAGGGTTCTAAATCCCTAACAATAAAGAAAGAATTTTTGCCTCACATCAACTTAACCATACAAAACATTTCTGACAGAAAATGTTTATAAAATATTTCCTGTTTTAAAACCTAAGTTTTAAAAACCAAAGTCTTCCAGTCCAGAATTATAATTAGGAGTTCTAACATGACATTCAACAGTAGTTGTTATGTCTGATTTTGATGTTGTTTACATTTTTAATACCCATTCACATACCTCAAGCGGACATTGGCACCAATATAAGATTCATATGGCTTTTCAACTTGCATAAATTCAAAATCATAACTTCTGCTCTGGGTCAGTTCTCCAGGTAAGGCTAATTCTTTCACAAGGTTTACAAATTCATGAGTATTACTCTTGTCATTGAAAAGTTCTAAGAAATTTTAAAAAGCAAAAGGCTGATTATACTTATATCCATTTCATTAAAACTCAAACTTATCCCCTCAAAGTAAGTAGTTTTTAATCAAAAGAATTAGTTGAATTTTCTCTTTAATATATTAGAGTTATGATGTGAATTCTAATATCCCTTTCATTATTATGTTCCACCAGGCATAAAAAATTTCAAGCAGCATAACACAATGAAAACGTCTATTTATAAAAAAGTGAATTCATTCTTTTAATGTAGTTAGGGCTTGTTCAATATGAAGCTGTCTTAACACATTTCCAGCAGTTATTTTAAATTCAAGAGAAAAAGCACTTTGTTTTGCTTTAGTCAGGCAAATGTACTACCTTGACAAAACTATAATATACAAAGACTAAAATCAACTATGAATTAATTACTATCATTTCACCTCAAGTATAATTTCATCTAGAATAGATACAAATAAATATCTACCTATTCCAACTTTGATATTTTTAAAATACAATAAAAATACAAAGTTAGATTTAAAATTTAGCTATGTACTTAGTATTATAAAGTCCTATTTTTCTTTTCTTTTTACTGTATCTGCTGTATCAAAGAATTTGCATGCTTTAATTCCTGTTAAATCCAGGATGCCTTTGATATTCAAATATGGAAATAACATGTTAAATAAAAAATAAATTACGCCGTTCCTTTTCATATGGAATTTTCTGTTGGCAGTTGAGTGGCTACAGTTACACACTAGATCAGGAAGACAAATGACACGCGTAATTAGAAAGTGAAGAATGAAGGTGAAACTGGTAATAATAAGGTCAGAGAAATGTAAGTAGATGGAAATTTCAGTGAGTCAACTACTCAAATTATTTTTTAATACTGGTCGTTTACATAGCACCTTTCATTTTTAGTAATTAAGTTAAACAGCAAGTAAAGGCAAGGTAAATCAAACAGCTTTAATACAATTAAAAGAACATGATTTAATGTTTACAAAAAAATCTACTTTTATTACACAATTAATTTCTTCCTTCCACAAAGCTAACCTCTAATTAATTGTTAATCCAACCCTCTTCAAACTCAATTAACCAAAGAAAAGAAAAAGTAATACTATTTTAAAACTCACCAATTTGACCTACAAATTCAATTCTAATTCCTTGGTGCTCTAGCCTCTTTCCAGGTTGCTTAAAGGCTAAGTTTACCTGCCAAAACATGAAATTGTAAGAAATGTTAACAATCCTTTTCAGTGGGCCTACTAGTAGAGTCCTTCCAAATGAATGCAATGCATTTTCAGGTATTCATTTCTGAAGTTTGAAATACCACCATATACCTAGATCATCATAATCCCACAGCACCAAAGAAGGTGTAAATCACACAAACATAATTACTCGTGAGCCTATTACTTATACTTAAATTTTAAGCATCTGCTTTATTAGGAAGGAATTCTTTAGAGAACTACTGGAGAACTACCAAGACTCAATCAAAAAAGAGGAAAACTTCAACTATTGAAATATGTTTTCTAGTCAAACAGTTAATGCTACAACTAACAGTACTTTAATGTAAAGTAACTTAAGTCTAAGACATGACCTCACAGATCACTGAACTTTTTATAACTAATAATGTATTTTTTTTTTTTTTTTAAGATTTATTATGCATTCAGAACTGGGGTACAGGCCACAGGCCAGAGGTGCAGGGCCAGTGAGAGGATTCACTGGAGACAAAGTGGGGCGTAGAACAGGCAGATCAACAAAGTACACTGCTGAGGGGAGCAGCGGGTGGGCCAGGAGAGTTCTGCCATGCCATGTGAGTCACCTCTGGGGTGGGGAATCAAACTCATGCTGAAGTGGTTTTAACTTCTTAGTGCTGGGCTTTAACCCGGTGAACCACCAGGGAGGGCCCCTAATGTATTGTTTTAATTTCTAGCCTTAAAGCAATGTTTATTGCCCTTTGTCTGCTACTCATCAGAAAAGTACAATGCCTGAAGATTTAATTTTCAGTATGATTTATTTTACACACTTTTAAAGTAAAATACATAATCCCAAAAATCCCTAAACTCCTATCTGTCAAATGGAAACCTTATTTTGTATGTGTTGAACAAAATATCTGTACTCATATTAAAAATAAAATTCCCAATGTTTATGGATTAACATACAAAAAAAGCATATTCTACATTTATTCCTTACTATAAAAAATACTGGTTTGACATGACTCCTAAAAACTTTTCTTCCAAAAAAAAAAAAAACTTTTCTTCCAAACAATGTTTCTCAAAAAGATAATAAAAATCAAAGACCAATAAAAACAGAGTTCCAATCTCTTCTGTTTGCTATATAAATTAAAATATTCACTCTTCTATATCTTGTATATATACACACCCACGGTGAGTTACTTGCCTTCAATATTAATGTTTCAGAAAAAGAAGTAAATAATTAAATTGTACATCAGAAGGTGGAATAGTACCAAGATTTAAAAATAATAGTGTCAAAGAATTTTTATAGATGTGGAAAAATGTACATGATATGTTACATGATGGAAACATGGTCAAATTGTATACAAGTATAATGCCAACTATATTTTTGGAAAGCACAGAAAAGAAATACTCTTAACAGTAATTACTTTTAGAATGTATGATTATGTATTATTCTATTTGTTATTTGAAATTTTCCAGTGTGCTTTGTTGTTTTTTACAATAGGTAAATAATACATTCAAAGTAAGCAAGTAAATTTTCCCCTTGAGCAACAACAAAAGCATAACTCCTGGCTAGTTTCATAAGCCAGCCAGTAATTAGAGATATCCTCCAATTTTTACTAATAAAGCTCACATATGCAAGCATACACACATACTTTTTTTCACAACCAAGAATGCTGGAGATATAATCATGTAACTTCTAAACACTTCATGTGTAACTTCCCTAAGAAAATAAGCCTTTCTCAAAAGGAAAAAAAAAAAAATAAACTTTGTCTTACATAAGCATAGTGCAATCTTTAAAATCAGGAAAGTCAACATTCCAAAGTCTATATTCAAATTCCATCAACTACAATATACTGTAATTTGTAGAATTTTTTCCTCCTATACAGACTCCAATCCAGAATCACATAATTAATATAGTTGTTATGTCTCTTCCATCTCTTTTAATCTAGAAATTCCTAAATCATTGCTTTTCTTGACTTTGATATTTTGTAAGAATATGTATCAGTTACTTGTATTAAACAGAATGCTCCCCATATAGTGGCTAGTGTTCTGGGTGGTGAATAGAATGTTCCTTAATTTGGATTTGCTTAATGTTTTATCACAATTAGTTTTACTCAAGTTACTAATTTTTGGCAAAACCACCAGAGAAATGAAACTGTCTCAGTATACCTTATTAGAAGCACAAAATGCCAGTTTGTCCCAATATTGGTGATATTAACTATGATCACTTAGAAGTGATCAGATTACTCCAATTTAAAGTTACTTTCTTGTTTGCTATACTACATAATTTGAGCTGAGAAACTTGAGACTACTGATACGTGAAATCAGAATGTAGATAAACTATATATATAAAATATTCACTGCTTTAACAAACCAATCTCAAAGCTCATTCCTCAGAATAAAATAGTCTTATAGATGTCTCAAATAGTGCTACCTTCAGGATTTATTTATGGAGTGAAATTCATCAATACTGTGTTTAAGACAAACATATATCAAGGTACTACACATCTTAAGTAGGTCATTTATAGTGAGGCACCAAGATTACTGCTGATGGGTATTGTGATTATCCAAGATTAGTTCTAGTTGCTGCCAAATGAGTTTGGTCCCTATCCATGATAATGAGAGGTACAATATATCTTGCTTAAAGAACTAAACTATAAACTTCTGTAATCTCAAAATAAACATAAGTCTTTGTTCACTTTTATACATATGCCTTTGTTCACTTTTATAAAAGGAACAGATGCCAATTTTGTTATAGGTGAATTAGTAACAAAGGACTAATACCAACATTTCAAAACAATTTATCTATCATTGACCAACCTAAAAGACTGTCCTGAGTAAGGACTTATTACTTATAAACCATACTTTCCATCCCCTAAAAAAATAAAGCTTCCAGATAACTTACAGACATAAATTTCATAATTCAAAAACTATACTTGATTATAGTTTCAACAGTCAGCAAGACTAAAACTCATTTAGAAGGCATAGTGATACAAGCTGTACTCTAAAGAGGTTAAATATATTAAAATATAAAAATACATGAGAAATTTGGGATATGATCTAACTTTCATAGACTTAACATTTGTTACTTTGACATGGTGGAAATAGTCTAAGGATAAAAAAAATGTTGTTTTTTTTTTTAAGAATTTCCCTATTAATCTTGTGACAGTTCTATTTTTGAGAGTATTACGGAATGCTCCAAAATCTCTCTTAAAAAAAGTTCACAGCTACTGACTTTTTTTTTTTGAACAGTTGGAATGTTTTTACTTTAAAGACACAGGAGCACATCTGGCTTTGCATGACTGGATTTTTTTTTTAATAATATAGTAGTTTATTTTTACATCATTTTGTAACACAGCTATTGATTTTAACTTTGAAAAGTATATGTACGAAAGTCCAAGACAATTCAATGGGGAAAGAAATTTTTTTTCAACACAGTTCTGGAGCAACTCATCACCAACATTAAAGAATTAAGGGGGTTTCCTACCTCCCATCACATACAAATATTCACATAAAAATGGATCAAAGACCAAATGCAAAAGCTACAATTACAAAACTCTTAGCGAAACTAAAGTGTAAATATTCATGACCCTGGACAGGCAATGGTTTCTTAGATGACACCAAAGTCACAAATAATAAAAGAAAAAATTGGACTTCAAATTTTTAAACTTTTACGCTTCAAAAGACACCATAAAGGAGAAACAACTCACAGAAGAAAATATCTGCAAAACATAGTTGATAAAGGATTTGTAGCAAGAATACATAAAGAACTCTTACCACTATAAAATAAAAAGCCAAGTAGCCCAATAAGAAAACTTTTCTCCAAAGAAAATTTACAAATGACAATAAGCACATGGAAAGATGCTCAATATTATTTGTTACTAGGGAAATGCAAAATAAAACTATAATGAGATACCACTTTAAAAATAAATGGTAAATAATATTACTATATTAAAACAATAGTAAGTATTAAAAGATACGAAGAAAGTGGAATCCTCATGCATTTTTTTGAGAGAATGTGAAGTGGTAGCTGCTTTGGCAGTTCCTCAGAGTACTGAGGAATTTAAACATAAGAGTTAACATATGATCCAGCAAGTCCACTCCTAGGTACATATCCCAGATAAATAAAAACATACATTCAGACAAAAACTTGTACACAAATCTACAGGTATTATTTATAATGGCCAAAAAGTAGATACCCAAATTCCTCAACAAATGAATGGATAAAGAAAATGTGGTATATTCATGTACGGCATAGATATAGTGGAATATTAATTGGCTAAATTTTTCTGATACATTCTGCAACATGAATGAACTTTGAAAACATGCTAAATGAAAGAAGGCAGAAGAACTGAAATTGAGTCTGACCATGGCTCTAGATAAGCTACCAACTTAGAGGTAACAACTCTATCATGAGTGTGCAACAACAGAGAACTCTACAGGTTCAAATGGCCTAGGGTCTTCAATAGACATGTAGATAGACATTTGCAATAGATAAATTACAATGAAAAGAAAGGCATAAAGTGGAAACCCAGGATTAAAATATTTAAAAGTTCTATCATTTTTTTTACAGGGGCAAGCAAAATTAAACAATTAAGAATCATAAATTCTATGTATTCACATATTACTATAAAAGTCAACAGAGTTGGTTACTCTGAGGGGAAGGAACTGTAATTGGGATAGGATAGGACATATGAAGCATTGACAAAGTTCTACTTCTTGAATAGTGATGTTTTACAATAAAGAGGCTAAAAGTGGGATGAAAAAAAAAAAACACCTTAGGTTAATAGTCTAATTCCAGATGTAATATTCTTTGAGCAAGAAAAAATACTTAACTACAAGAGATTTATCATTTTTAAAAAATATACTGTCCAATTAATGTCTACACAGAACCTCCAACAATTCCAAAAACACAATTTTAATGCCAAATATTTTTTAAACTATACTGAAATAGTTTAACTGTATTTCCTTAAACAGTCCCCTTTCCCTTTCCTTTATTTTCCCCTAAATGTCAGTCAAGAGCTCCCAGTTGAGCCAGATATGGACCTTTAACCAGACAGGAAATACTCCCTATTTAGGCTTAAGAACAGTAAATAAACAAATCAAATAAGTAATTAAATGGGCACTTACTATATAATCGACACTGATATATTTTTATGGGGAATACAGAAAGACAGTCTGACCCCCTTAATCATGAAAGGTTTATAATCTAGCAGGACAGGTATTTACTTTCTTGTTATATTTTTAATTAACATATACATATCTTCTTTCTCATGAAGCAAACACTCTGTCCCTCATTCTTCCTTCACTTGACATGTTCCTCCTTTAGATGGTTATGCCTGATCTCTTTTATGGATATTTTCCCTTCTCTTTCTCTCTTTGTAATGGAAAAGTAACAGGAAAGCAAAGTTGAAAACCCAAAAATTTATTTCAGATACAAAATCAAGACAGCAATAGAAGTAAGTTGTGAAAGGCCCAAAACAAACAACCCAGTACAGTGGCTAATAAACCTAAGTTTAACTTATCTAGTAACTATAAAAAATGTTAATTATAAGAATAACCTCATTTTTGCCTAGCAAAATAGATTTAAAAGTAGTCATATTCAAAAGTACGTTGAAATAAATAAGACACTGTAAGTAGACACGAGATTTAAAAGAAATTTCCCAGATTAACATGTATCAACACCCTTCAAACAGGCATGTCTTTTTAGTCCAGCAACTCACTTCCAGGAATTCATTCTGGAAATAATCTTACCCTACAAAAACCTGGAAAAAATTTTATGTATACTGAAATCTGTATTATTAAAGTTATGGTGATACACAAGTCATCTGAAAAATAGAAGCAACTTAAAATATCCATAGGGAAAAGATATACTTAAAAAATGATATACTTAATATGTTAGCTACATATAAACATTACTCAATACAGAGGGAAAGAGGAGTAAACACACCAAAATTGAACAGTGAATTATTTCTATATGATGTGGCTACAGGTAACTATCTTATTTCCCAAGTTGTCTATCACACCTATATATTACTTTTAAAAGCAGGGGAGGAATATTTAAAAATATATAAAATCAAATCTTTCATGACTTGATTTTGTTTAAATTACCAATCCTCAGTATCACAAACTAATAAGTATTGATATTTCTTAACATAAAACTATATTTTCATATATACCTTAATAAGGAAAAGGAAATAAGGTGTGACCTTAGAAAAAGTATCACAAATGTATCTGAGCATGCATACATTAAAAATGTACATCATTTCCTTATGGAACTCCAACAAATGAGATTAGTAGACATAATGGTAACAGTACAGAGAAATGTTACAAAGAATGAGAAAGAAACTTAAAAAAAAAAACTACACTAGAGCATTATTCCCAAACTCTCTAATTGAACTTTTTATGTTAAAAGAGAAACTTTGAGGATATTCCAGCACCACTGGACAAAACTGTCTGAAGCTAGACATACGTGCACAGCTACAAACACAAAATTTTGCATGCAGCTTAATTAAGACTACCCTGTTTAAATTAGATCACGTTAAAATCTTTCCTTTATAAATATTCTAATGAATCAAAAATTTGATCTCCAGAAAAAAATTTTCATTTCTTATGAAAGCACTAATTCTAATATCCTATAACTAGGTTAATTCTCCCCCAAACAAGATTTACCTTTCCTGAAACAGATTCCCCATCATAGAAAAGATAGTGTTTTTCTACTTTGCCATCTTCAGTTTTCATTTCTGCCATTTTCCTGGTTTCCCCATCATTAAGGATAACGTCAATCTCACAAATGGGACCAAAAAAACCGCCAAGAAAACTCTGAAAAGCAAAACGCACATAGTTATGTTTTGTTAGCTACTACATTGGTAAATAATTACCAATAACCTACAATTGAATATAATACAAACCTGTGTGTTCATACTTGATAAGAAATTAGCATCAACTTTTATGTCAAATTCAAACAGTACAATAATGTACATATAGTAAATACTGTACTGTACATTAAAAAATGTGAAGATGAATTCATGTTGTATTTTTTTTAAAGATTTATTTATTTATTCATACAGAACTAGGGTACAGGCCAGAGATGCGGAGAGAGGATTCACCACAGAGTGGGGAGCAGAACAGGCAGATCAAGGAAGTATACCGCTGAGGGGAGCAGCGGGCAGACCAGGAAAGGTCTGCAGCGCCATGTGGATCTCCTCCGGGGCAGGCTGGGATCGAACTCGTGAGGAAGTGGCCCAAGCCTCCCAGTGCTGAGCTTCAACCCGCTGCACCACCAGGGGGCACATGTTGTATTTTTTAATCACAATAAAAGACAAAGGGGGGCCTCCCTGGTGGTTTAAGTCTCAGCACTATAATGCTATTGGCAGCTACTGTAGCACCACTCAGATCCCCCACCAGAGAGCTAACCCACACAGTGCAGCAGACATCACCTGTCTTGCCCACTGCTCCCCTGAGCAGTGTATTTCAGTAGTCCTCCTGTTCTGCTCCCACTGTTTTTGGTGAATCCTCTCACACCCCCAACCCCCACCCACACCTCTGGCCTATATCCCAGCTCATGTATGCATAAATAAATAAATCTTTTAAAAAATATATAAAGAAAATTAAAATTGAAACACGTTATAACTTGCAATCAATTCACAGGTAGCCACTAGAAATAATACTAATATCAGAAATTAAAAAATCACTTCTTAACTAAGCATTTGAAAAGCTATATTTAGTTGCACTTCTATGAATTTCTTTTATCATAGCAAAAGTCATAAAACCCAAATTACTCATACAAATCCAAATGAGTTATGTTCTACTACTTCTGTAATATTATAAGTCTGAAATAAAGTATGATAAACTAGATAAATTCTTGGAATAAAATTGGCTCTAATGGAATAGACAAAATTTCCGTGAATTTTTACAAAGCAAGTACAAAAATAAACCTTGTTTCTGTAAATAAGAAACAGTGCAAATGTCTATCAACAAGAGAATGGATACAAACATTTTAGTCTACATTTATAATGATCAACAGAATGAAATACAACCACACAAAAGGATGACTCTCACATAACTTTGAAAGAGGTCATACACACTGTGTATGATACTATTTATAAAAAGTAATAAACATGTAATGTATGTTAATAGTATTAGAAAGTAAGGAAATGGTTGGAACAAAGTATAAAAGGTACTTCTGAAGTACTAGTAATTTTTTTAATCTGAGAACTTGATATACAGGTATAATAATCATTTCATAAAAATTCATCAAGTTGTACTATTATTTATACACTTACCTATAGCTAAAGTTTGTTTTTATTATTACTTTAAATGAATATACATTGTATTTTCTAATGTGGCCTGCATTTATCTAACTCCATTTCTTCAGTCACATCAGCTTCAAGTTTATCAAATATGACATTCTCATTCTTGCCCTAGACTAAGGATCCTCAACCTAACTGTGCTCTGAAGTTTCCATTTGACTCATCTCCAGAAAGAGGCATTCCCTAACTTCTCATCAAAATCGAGTACTCCAAATTTAGTAGGTATCATAACACTGCATAGTCTTACTTCACCTTTTAAATAATTTGTGTACTTTTCAGTACCTGGCTCCCTAACTGGCCCATAAATTTCATGAGGATGGATAACTTATCCACTGATCATTACTTAAGATCCAGTGACCAGGAGCAGTATGTGACATTTAGAAGGCAGTGAAACACCTGCCGAATACTAAATTTTGAATAAAACATACTGTCCTAATAACAGCAAATAAATGAGCTAACATCTGGATATTTGCTAAGACTAGCCCTCCTCTAGGAAGTTAGCACTGGTGCAGAGGCAAAGTCTAGGGCAGGGAACTTGCATGGTCACAGTTCTGTCCTCAGAAGGCAGAAGAGCAGGCATGTTAATGGTCCTCCTCAGGCTATGTAGGTTGACAGGGTGATACAGTGATCAAAGGAGATAGCGTTTTCTTAAATTCTGAGTTTGCTTTTATCTATATTATAAATTTTATGTTATATGATTGCAGTTTCAAGAAATAATAAGAATTGTGAGTTTAGTACTTCTGACATACTTCAAAGACACAAACAGCAAATTCCTTTTTGACAGAATATTTTAATCTTTCCAGGAAACATTATGAATAAAAGTTAAATTTTAACCAGAAAACTAATTTTAATCAGAAAACTATTCTGATCATAGAAAACAATCAATGATAGGTTACATGCACTGCCCCTTCCTATTTAGCTTTCATAACCCAAATTTTAAATTCAAAAATGACTACAGATGTGAAAATGAAGAGCAACTCAAAATCAGCAGATATTTACTAATTAGCAAGAGCATGCAAAGCAGTGAGCCAGCAAAAGGATGGATGGGGACTCCTGTGGGAGAGTAATTATGTAAAAGTAGAAGACACCTGCCTCATTTGAACTATAAAATACAAACAGGAAAATAAAAGTTAATATTCTCATTTCCCTTAATACTTCCCAGAGCAGTGTCCAGGGAAAATAAAGTTTGAAAACTATAGAAATTGTTTTATAGATGAAGGAGATTTTTTGTTTTTCCAATTAATGTTTATTAAGGTACAATTCATTTACATCATTGTAACTGCTTTTAGGTCTACAGGTTCAAGCCTCTGCAAATGTATGTTTCACACCATGCCTAACTCCAGTACCCAATAACCAAAAGGAAATATTATGGTAACTTTCCCCCCCCCCCCCCCCCATATATATATATGTATATACTTAATATAATTATAATTAAATAGTAAGTCTAATTTTAACAGCAAATGTAATATTTTAAATGTCTAAAAATGTTAAATATGTAAAAACTGCATTATCCTCTTATTTTTTGAATGCATGAAGTTTCTCATAACTAGCAATTAAAACTAAACTTATTTTCAACATAATCAAAACACTATGATTGGAAGAGATCAGAAGGTATTTTTTAAAATACCCAGTATAAATAAGCAGATAAGTAATAGATTGAGTAATAAACTACAGCACTTTAACAAGGTTGGTTAAGATAATGATGTCAGGAGAATTTAGCAATGTGTGAACGTCTAGTTTTTCACACTATGACACATCCAGAATGAGCTGGTACTATTAAAGCCTTCAGAAATTGTGAATGTCTTATATTTAACAAGTAAGTACATGATAGAGAAAAAAGCATTGCTGTGTTTTCCGTCTATAAGGAGTCAAAAAACAGTCTACTCAAAGTCTTGCTTTTGTTTTTATTTTAAGATGTTCATCTGCCACTTGAAACAAAAAGGCATAAAATAGTTTTTTAATCAATAATATTTCCCATATGTAAAGAGGAAGCAAAATACAGAATTGTAGAGATGAAGACTAGAAGGGAATAAAAATTTACAAGAGGATTAGGTGACACTGACAAACTTTATTTGAGATTGCAGGAGAACTTTTCAGGTGTTTTAAGTGTAAGACAACTATAAGTTCTGGAAAAGCTATCTTTTAGCATTTAGAATATGAGATTTTCAGAGGCAGTAACAGTCAATATACAAGGTAAAACACTAAGGTAGCCTTTAAACAACTACATTACAAACGTATCTAAATGTTAACACATTATGGTATTTGCTTTTCGTTTTTAAATTGTGGTTTAAATCTCCTATCATTGACTCTAGATTAATTTATTTTATGTAGTTTGTAAACCCAAGTCTGAGCATTACCATCTAGCAAAATTACATGTGAATACATGATTAAAAACATACACACACTTTTTAGTCCTCCCTAAAGAAATTTCACTGTGTCTTTTAGTCCTCCCTAAAAAAATTTCACTATGTCCAATGGAAGTAAAGAAATGCAACTCAAGAGAAGCTCTCAATATGTATTCACTTAGCCTATACATAAGCCATGAAACAGCATATTTTCAAGCCTGTATTATATTTGTGCCCATTTTTGTGCTTACAATTTAGTTTTGAGTAACCTGGAAATAGAAATAAATTGCTCTTGAATATAATTCAAAAAATTAAAAAATCATTTTAAATGTTAACAAAAATAGAGGACTTTTTAAGCTTTGCAAAGTACATTCAATTAAAGAAGCTCTTCCTAACCCCTGACTATGCAAGGTCCCACAATACTTCCTTCTTATAAGTTACGACAGCTGTAATTTCCACATTACACAAATAAGTATTTATCTCCCTCTAGATTCTAAGCTACAAGAGAAGTTTCAATTCAAGTCTTGCACATGAGCCTGGACACTAAGTAGTCGCTGAATGAAAAGAACGGGTCTGCCTTTAGTTTTTGGTGTTTGGTTTGTTTTTTAATATCACAGCAATACGATTTCTGATTTTAAATTTTATTTATTCATAACTTCTAAAAAACAAACCCAGCTTGATCTTTTGCCAAAAGTCTCAAGAAGTTTAACTGAACCGGTGTGGGAAAGCAGATAGTATAAGGAGGGCACACAGCAGGCGCTAAATATATGCTTGCAAAATAAGAAACGATGACTACCATATAACGAGCCGATGAGGTCCAATAAAAAGTAAATTGCCATCACCAAGTCAAGCACCTTCGTGCCTACGCTTATGTTTTCACTAACTGTAGTCAGGACTGATTTGCCCACCACTACCAACACCATGCTTCCCAGGCCATTTCTACAACATCCCAAAGCATTAAGTTTCTAGAAATGAAGGAACTGAGAGCACTGCTTAAATCCGCGGGCAGGAAACTCAAAAACCTAGAGTCCTTTGATTTAAATATGTCCTCCCCCCCACCCCGCCAACGTCGTTTCTCTCTTCCATTCTACAAGTGTCAACATCAAATCTGAACAGGGATCTGGAATTCGCAGACTGTCACCACCTCCAGGTTAAAAAATCACGGAGTATACGGAGCTAGTGACACACTGGAAGCGAGCGATCAAGTTCGGAACTGGGGACTCGCGGGTCATCCCACCTGGGGCTGCTAGGCGGCTCGAGAGCCGAGGGAGGCTGGTACTCTCGGAAGGGGAGGCGGCAAACCCCCGCAGAGGCGGGGTCAGAGAACCCACCCAGGGCTACCCACAGGGCTTCCCACAGCCCATGCAGGAAAGCCGACCGAGGCTCGGACCAGCGGAGAGAGCGCCCCGACGCTGGCAGGTGCTCGGGCCTCGCCGAGACACAGAAGAGGGGGCGCCGCCCGCTCTTTCCCGATCCAGTACTGGCCCCACAGGCCTAACCCGACTCCCCACCCGCTTGGCCCGCCCCCTTCGGCCGCCCCCGCCACCCCTCCCGCGACGCCGGGCCAGCGGTTGACCAGCCCGCCGCGCGCTCCAGGGCTCAGGCTAGAAGCAAGCGCGCGGCCCGCCGCACACTCACCATTGTCAGCGCAGCCGCCGCCGCCGCGTTCCCCACTTCACTCCTCTTCCCTCAGGAGAACTCCCGTCCCACGGCTCCCTCCGCCTTGGCGCCCAGTCACGTGACCTCAGGCCGCTGGCCGCACGTGACCCCTCCCTTCCTCTTTTCCCCTCCCCCCGGCTCCAGCCCCTCCCAGCCACTGGCCCCGCCCCACTGGCCAGCCAGGCTCTCGTAGGAGAGGCCGTTTGGAGGCGGAGCCTTGCGCTCCACCCTCTGCTGGGGGGCGGGGCCAGTGCAACGCCGTAATGTGGGAGGAGCCTCCGCCTCACGTGATGGGCGGATCGCTGACGGGCTTCTTTGCCACACCCAGTTCCGCTTCCCTGTGGAAGTTTGCTAATCTGAGAAGGGAGGGAGGGTTATTTCGCTGGGCGTTATGCGCCTGTTATTTATTTGACCGTCCCGGAGGCCCTGCTTCTTTCAGCTTTGCCAAAGACCAGCAGGTTTCAGTAGGAGGAGGCGTTCTTCCACCTCTCGTGAACTCCCAGCTCCGCCTCTAGGTTTTGAGAACTTGTTAGGTTTGTTGCCTCGGAAGAGACGGTCGGGAAGAATTGTTACGGTGCTGCTAAAAGTTGATTTCTCAAGTACAGGAACACCTCCTGAACTACCCACCTTGAACTGAAGAGGGCTCACAGATCACTGTTAACCGCCCTGCCGTTGCAAGAAAAAAACCCTTCCTAAAAATGTACGACTACACTGCCGAGTGAACTCTGGCTTTAACTGTATCCAAGTTACTTATTGTAGGGTAAGAGTAGGGTCCTCCCGGGCACTCTACAACCGACGCAGAAAACTGATGATGTCAGAACACTCTAGTGTATACACACACACACACACACACACACACACACACGATTGTAAGGCTAGGCATAAAGCCTGTCTCAAATTTAAACGTCTACTGTATAGTCTGTAACCACAATATAATTATAACTCAATAAAAGATAGCTGGGAAATCCGCAAATATTTGTAATATTTGAAAACTAAAGCAACCTGATTCTAAATGTCTGTGTCAAAGAAGAGAGACTTTTAAATACTTTGAACTAAAAGATAATGAAAAGAAATCATAACCGAATTTGTGGGATACAGTTGAAATAATGCTTGGAGGGAGATTTGTGTCTGCAAATGGTTATATTTTAAAAGGAAGAAAGGCTCAAATCAATGTAAATTCATGTGGGAGGGAGTAGGGGATATAGAGTAACAGTTATTCCTCAATTGTAAATTCTCACAGTGTGGTCAAATAATCTTTGACAAGCCCTCCATGAAGACTTACTAGGGGAAAAGACAATCTTTTCCAATGGTGCTGGGAAAACTTTATATCCACATGTAAAAGAATGAATCTTATGCCATCTATAAAAGTTAATTTAAAAGACCTACATGTAAGACCTAAAGTATCTTATTAGAGTCCTAAAAAAAAAAAATGTCGAATGCGCCTAGGGAAAATCTTGACAACATTGAACTTGGTAATGATTTCTTGGATATGACACCAAAAGCAAAGGACACAAAAACAGTTTTGCACTGGGACCACAACAAATTTTAAAGTTTAGTGCATCAAAGACACACAGATTGAAAAGTTAGCACATGGAATGAGAAGAAATATTTACAAATCATATATCTTGAGTAATATTTAAAATATATAAAGTACTCCTACAACTTCAGAAAATTCAGAGAACTTGATTGAACCATGTGCGGGGGAGGGAGGGAATTAAACAGACTTCAATAAGCATGTAAAAAGACTCTTGGTATTACTAATCACCAGAAAAATGTAAATCACAACGATAAAATAGTGCCTCACACCCATTAGTTAGGTTAGTGAAAATAACAAGTGTTGAAAAGGCTGTGGAGAATTGTGAAATCTTTGGGAGAAGTTGGTGCAGTGCCTATAAAATACAGAATGGAGACTCTTTCCAAAAAATGAAAATAGAACGACCTAGGATCCAGCAATCCCACTTCTCAATATCTATCCAAAATTGAAAGTGGGTCTCAAAGATGTATTTGTACCACATGTTCGTAGCGCATATGAGCATGCATGTTCACCCATTACAGCATTCAGAAACAGCTGAAAAAATCCTAAACCAAGTTTATATAGCAAAAAGTTATATGAAAACAGTGACCTGTGGATAGCCCTACAATGAGGTTAAATGTGCTTTTTAAAATTTTGTTGTAAAATTCCTATCTTAGGATGGGACAACTGTATTTTGAGATAAATTATAAAATGACAAAAGGTCTAACAGATGCTATATTTTTTAATTTCTAAGTTCTTTTTTAATGCTCTGAAAGTCTCATTTTATTAGCACTTTGTCCTTGTGAAGATAAATTATTCAATATTCAACATGTAAAAATGTAGATTTTTGCACAAATTAATAATTTACTCTAACAAATCACATTATCAAGCTTCTCGATTAATGTGATTTAGCAAAGTTCCTAGTTCCTAAGGACCAATGATAAACCACCCTATAGCATTATAAAGTGTGAACATAATTGATAAAACATCAGTGCAGAAGTAATTATTAGTTTAGTATAGTGGTTCTCAAGAGGGAAGGCATTTTCTTACCAGGGGATATTTGGCAAGATGTGGGGATATTTTCAGTCATCAGATCTGCTAGATATCTATTGGGTAGAGATCAGACATTCTACAATGTATAGGACAGACCCTCTACAGCAAAGAAATGTCCTGTCTAATATAGCAATAATGCCAATACTGAGCAACCCTGGTTTAGTATAAACCTATAAGAGAAATAAGAGTTCTGATCGATCAATTGTATTAATATTTTAAACAGTGACTTGAATGGTAAAACAGTCTATATGCTGAGAGAATGGAGATAAAAAGCTTCTACAAAATCAACACTGCCTTTTCTTTGCTACCATAGCATCTTGTCAATAATTATTATGGAGTTAGTGGAAAAGAACTACCATGTAAAACGTGTCACCATTGTTTTATTGTTTCCCCTACTGAATTGTGGACAGTCTTACAATTGTGTTTGTGATTTTGGGCCTTTGTAGGTTTTGGATGATTGTATACTGTAACAAAAAGTGACTGTGAAAAAAAAAAATTCAAAACCAACAAACACATAGAATTATAACACTATAAGTTCTCTCGTGTTCTTAAAGAATATCTAAATATTTTGTCATTTTGCAATCTACACCAAAATAAATAATTCACTATTTGTTTTTCTAAAAAAAAAAAAGTGACTGTGAATTAGAAAGCTACTCGAAAATACAAATTGGAAGAAGCCCCCAACTCCTATAAATTGTAATAAATAATTGCTTGACAAATAGAACCCAAAAGGTAAAAGTAAGAATTAGAAAGAATCTACATAACTTATACACTATTTCCCTATTTGCCTGAGAATATTCACCTCTATTTACCTTCCTTGGGACCACACAAAATATCCACTGCCATTCAATTCCTGTTAAACTCAAGGAAAAAGATCATCTGGTGTTCCTTTTCTGTATCCCAGCACCTAGCACAGTGCCTAGCACATAGATAAACCTTTAAAATAATCTCATGAAGCAACTCTTACACACATTTTCACAATCATGATTTTTAGGGGCTTACTTAATATTCCAGGCACTGAATCAATTGTATATCAAATATTACCTCATTTAATCCTCACCATAACCCTACAGGCATATAGTACTAACCTATATTATAGGTGATGGTAATAGCTTGTATTTACTGACCACTCAATGACATTGTTTCATACATTCTGCATATATTATTTTATTTAATCTTTTCGCTATCATTAAAGCTAAATCTATAGACACTATCATTATCCTTATTTTAAAAGGATAAATCTATAAATCTATAGACACTATCATTATCCTTATTTTAAAAAGGAAGAAATTAAGCAGTTAAGCAATCCATCCAAGGTCATCCTTGAGTAAGAGACAGAGCTTTACTTTTGTTCCAGATATTCTAAATTAACCCCTTCATTGCAATGCCTTCCCAACAAACTTAGAAAAATTAACTTGCCTTGTTACAGTGAAATTAGTATTTTTTAAAAGATTTATTTATTTATGCATACAAGACTGGGTTACAGGGCAGAGGTTCAAGGTCAGTGAGAGAATTCACCAGAAACAGAGTGGGGAGCAAAGCAGGCAGATTGATGAATTACACTGCTGAGGAGAGCAGTGGATGGATCAGGAGAGGTCTGCTGCGACATGTGGGTCACTTCCCTGGCTGGGAACCAAACTCGTGCTGCAGTGGCTGCAGATAGCTTCACAGTGCTGTGCTTTAACTCACTGCACCATTAGGTAGGGCACTGAAATCAGTATTTAAGCCAGAACTTTGCCCCTTTTTTTTACTGTTATTACTGCTGTAAGCCTCTTGATCTGCCTTTAATGTTTCTGGTTGAATAGATTAAGCAATGTATTTGTTGGCTGTCCAACTTTATTACTTTTTTTTAAAAGATTTATTTATTTATGCATACAGAACTGGGGTACAAGCCAAAAGTGTAGGGTTGGTGAGAGGATTCACCAGAGACAGAATGGGGAGCAGGACAGGCAGGTTAACAAAGTACACTGTTGAGGGGAGCAATGGACAAGTCAGGAGAGGTGTGCCGCGCCATGTGGGTCACCTCCCTGGCCTGCTGGGAAATGGAAGTTGTGCTTCACTTTAATCTGTTGTGCCACCAGGGAGGGTCTCCAACTTTTTTACTTCTAGTAATGCCATCTCCTTAACTCTTTGCTCATTAGGCTTCCCTCCCTTACAGACAGTGGTGCTCATTGTGATAATTGTGCAGCATGGCTCTATGGCTGAGCACTATCACTTGAATGCCACTGTTACTGTCATTGCTATTAATGCCCAGTTCTGTAAATCTCCGGTCAACTTGCCCTTTGGAGGCAAGACACCCTTAATAACTCAGAGATACTGTCAGTATAGTCTTTACTGTTTGGCCCTCCTGCAGAGCAAAGCCTTTGGGTGAGTTCCAGTCTTATCCAAGCTGTTCATTTGAACATGCTTTCTCTCTCCCTTTTACTGTCTGATGCCATCTTCCACTGCTCGCTATCTCAGTTCTAGCATTTCTACTTAAAAAGGACCGTCACTTTCTCTAAGTTTCTAAGAACCATTCTAGCAGCACACCAATACCTTCTCCCAGGATTCTTGCAAAGATGTTAAAACTTGTACCTCAAAAGAGTGCTAAGCACTCCCTTCTCCAACTTTATATTTTACATCCATCCCTTAGCATTAAGTCTCAGAGATATTTTCTCAGCTTCTGAGGGATCTTCAGTCCCTTAGTGTCTATTACGTTATTGCTTTAGTAAACCCAGCACTTCCCTGTTGGTTTACATTGTCCCCTTAGCTGTTGATCTGGTGGAGGGGAGAGAGGGTAGGGATAGACACAGAGAGAGGGTGCATGTGGTCTTAAAAAAAAATTCATCATCTTCAAACTAGAGGGAAGCAATAATTCTTAGGGAGTGGGCCTCTTGTATAGGCCCAGAAAATTCAAGGGAATAGCAGAGTAGAAGACCTAGATGTATCGATCCAGACAGCATCCCTCTCAGGGTCCCATTGTTTCCCATCAGGGCCCTGAACTTGCATAACAGACCTGGGTAGGTTGACAGTATAACATTCTTGAATTCTGCATTCTCATGATTACATCCTGGGCCTGGTTCTCAGCTTTTTCTGCCCTTCTACAATAAAAAATGTTTCTTAATATACTGCCAAGGAGGCTCATTGACTTTTGCATTTATCTTTTTTTTTTTAAAGATGTATTTATGCAGACAAGAGCTGGGTGTAGGCCAGAGGTAGAGGGGGGTTGAGAGGATTCACCAGAGACAGAGTGGGGAGCAGAACAGGTGGATCCACTGAAATACACTGCTGAGGGGAGCAGCAGGTGAGACAGAGACAGGGTCTGCTGCATCATGTGGGTCAGCTCCCTGGCTGGGGATGGAACTTGTGCTGCAGTGGTTACCAATAGCTTTATAGTGCTGAGACTGAAACCTTTGCGCCTTCAGGGAGTCCTTGCATTTATCTTTTAATTATCATGTGTAGCTTTTCATTTTTTCTTTCAAAAGCACTCATTACCTCCAATAACCACTCAATGCCATTATCTTCAAACTGATATTCAAAATCAACAGGCAACTATAAATCAGAGACATGGGGGGGAGAAGGGAGAAGGCTCAAATTGTTATAGGGCACCCCAAATCTGTTAAGAGGACAGGGGGAAAGGGGGACACCTCTGAAGCCCCAAAACCTGCCTGCACTAAGTGGGTTCTGCCATCCGCTGCAACAAGACAAAACATGTAAAACATTAATGAAAAGGGACTTTAATACAGTAAATATACAATATGGAACACAAAGAATATAACTTCTAAATCAAACACCTGAAGTTATCCATCCCCTCGTGGGCAAAAGTCAACCCAAAAGGGATTGGCCCAAAGCAAGGCCTGAAAGCCTGCCACTAGACTAAAGCACCTTCTGGCTGGGACCCATGGAAAAGGGTCAGAAATGGCCAGACAGGTCTGGGAGGAAAAAAGCAAAATCAAAATCAATATAAACACTGCCATCGTCACCTCCCTACAGGTCTCTCACCCACATCTGCCTTAACCAGTCCAGGGTCAGGAAACAAGCCCGGTTTCTTCATCACATGCTTGCTGCTCCATGTGGCTTCCTCAGGTCTCCTGCTCCTTCTCCATCCAGCTTCATTCTCTTCTCCCTTCTCTTCTCAGCTCCACCCTCCTTCTGGGTGGGGCAGGGAACCTGGAACTTCCCTTTTTCCTAAAGACCACCCTGTTACAAAATCAGGTGTGGGAAGAGCACAAAGGACTGTGGTGATGGTGAAAAGATGAATTGAATGGGGATTGGTGGGAAGCCAAATGAAATTGGAGGGAATTTCATGGGGACTGCAATTGAGAGGAGAAAGCACGCATTGCACAAAAATGAAGAGTGATATAAAGTATATATAATTAAACAATTTTTAAAAGTCTGCTATTGAACCCAGGTGTGTACATCATTGTCCAGTGAAAGTTGTAACAATTTCATCACCAGTGACAATTGTAAGAATTTCGATGCTGTCTTGTACCTATACGGCATCAACAACCAAGGGTAGGTCCCCATTGCCAGCCAAGCAGCAGGTGAACTAGCTCCAAAATCCCATTAGCATCTGCTTTCTACTACCCTGGCACCAAATATCTCAGGTTCGATTCTCCAGGGAGCAAACTTGGAGATGAAAACTAACACGCAGCAAGTTTCTAAAGGGCGCACTCTCAGAATAGACTGTGTGACATCTGTGAAGGGAAAAGAAGGAAGCCAAACTAAATAAAGGAAGAATCTGAACTTCAAAGCAGTCCCAACAAAGCCTCAGGTGAACCCTCAGGGAGCTCTGAATCTGTGAGTGGCTTCTGGTTTCCCCAAGGTCCAGGGAAGGGCACATAACCACATCATTCCCTGGGAGAAGCCAGCCCTGGGAGGAGGGGCAATCTCAAACTAGATGGCTCTTGATAGCAGATTTAACTGTGGTCCCCAGGAAAAGGGGAGGTTCCAGGTTCCCTGCACCACCCAAAGGAGGGTGGAGCTGAGCAGGGAGAGGAAGAATCTGAAGACTGAAGAGGAAGGAAGGGGGATGAAAAGCCAGAAGACTTGAGGGAGGCACAGGGAGCAGCTCTTGCTTCTTGGCCCTGGACTGGGTGAAGCAGATGTGGGTGAGAGACCTGTGGGAAGGTTGACTATGTCAGCATTTATCCTGATTTTGATTTTGCTCTTTTCCTCCCAGACTTGTCTGACCATTTCTGACCCTTTTGTATGGGTCCCGGCCAGAAGGTGCTTTAGACTTGTGGCAGGATTTCAGACCTTGCTTTGGGCCAATTCCTTTTGGGTGAACTTTACCCATGAGGGGAATGAGTAAATTTGGTTGTTTGATTTAGGAATCTATATTCTTTGTCTTTTCTGTATTGCACACTGATTTTATTAAAGTTCCCTTCATTAAAGGACTTACATGTTTTTTCTTGAGGCAGTGGATGGCAGAACCTATTCAGAGAAGGTAAGTTGGGAAGTTCAGAGGTGCCCCTCTCACTGCCCTATAATAACACTAGTTTGAGAAAGTCTTGAGTTCTGAAGAGGGCATCTGGACAGTGCAGCATCCAGGATGATGATGCTCACAGCTTTTCAGAACAAAGAGGAGCAGAAAAGGGATTAGACTTCACGAAGGGCTTTGACAAAACCCTCTTGTCCTATTGTTTCCTTCATCTGCTAGTGAATTTTTTTAAGATTTATTTATTTATGCATTCAGAACTGGGGTACAGACCAGAGATGTGGGTGGGTGGGTGAGAGGATTCACCAGAGACAGAGGGAGGAGCAGAACAGGCAGATGGACTGCAATACACTGCTGAGGGGAGCAGCAGGCAAGACAGCAGAGGTCTGCCATGTGGGTCACTTCCCTGGCCAGGGATCAAACTTCATGCTGTAATGCCTGCAATAGCTTCACAGTGTTGTGTTCTAACCCGATGCACCACCAGGGAGAGCCCATGATTTGATGCTGGTTATAAAATTTATTCTCACTGTAAAATAATTTTAAAATTATTTTGTTGGTAAGATTTATAGAACCACCTATACAAAGACAATTATTTCTTGAGTTTAGAATAAGAAATCCCATGCAACTCAACTCTTTGGTTTTACTTTTGCTTTAATAGAGTAACATTTGAAAATACAGAATACACTGACATCCAGGGCAGGAAGTAAAGCTGCATGAGGTATGGAAAGCACAAATGTGCTTTAATTTGGCTCTTAAGTAAGCAGTCACCCGTCTAAACAATGTCCACTAGCTCTTCAAACCTGTCCAGTGTAATATTAGAGTATACACTTCTCACTGTCAAACATGTTATATTCCCACTCTATAAATTTACTGTTGGCTCATCTTGACCTTTCCATAAGAAAAAGGGCATATCTGTGATTAACCATCAGAGGTTCTAAGGAGTTAAATATGAAATACTACCTGTTGGTTTTCTTCTCAGCTCAATTTTTTTAAAACAGTATAATTTATTCCTTAAAGCAATTTTATAGACATGAGTTTACTTAATTTACAGTGATGCTTGCTAAGTATGACACAAAAGAAATGCAGGTATTTTCTGGAACAACAGACCAGATAAATGAGGCTTTAAGAAATCATGAGAAACAAGATGATTAAGACTTAGGCTTCTTTTTCTTAGGTGTTTTTAAATTTCTATAAATTTTTTGTTCCAAAGTTAACAACTTAGCCATGGTAAACAAAATATACTGAATGCCTTGCCTGGTGTCAAAGTAAGGAAATTCTCTTCTTTATATGATAAAATCCTGCCCTGCTTCATTTTGATCTAAGCCAGGATCACCAGAGGGCAGATTCTTCTCCAAAGAGCTAAAATCCTGATAAGAAGCTTGGTTTCCATCTATTGGTTGATATTCTTGTTCAATATCAGTGAAGGAGACACTTTCAGAGCTGCTGCCAGAGCCAGAGCCTGATCCAGAAACATCCTCAGAAAGAGGGAAGGCATCATTCAGGTTCTGGGATCTCAACAATCTGAAAATTTAAGAAAAAATGAAAACAACCACAGTAAAGTTTGAGCAACAAGAAGATAATCATAATAATTTTTAAGATAAAATAAGTGCAGCTACCCAGCTACTCGAATCTTAAAATTTTCCTAGTTACTCAATGCTTTAAAACTAAAAACAAACTGCCTCTCCCTCCCACCAGTTTCCCTAGTTCATTGCATGGATCAACTCCAACCCAATGCAGACTCATGCAGCTCTGGTAATTTTCTCTGCACAGGCACAGCAATCTTATGGCAATCCCATAGCAATTGGCATTTATTTAAGGAGTCACTTATTGGGGAAGTCCCCTTTGTCCATTTCTCCCACTAGAAAAAGGACAAACAAGTTCAAGATAGCATCGATAGATGACATTTTTTCTTCAACTTTGTGTAAAAGATCCAATCATTTCAGTGCTTCCAAAACACTCAGTCTTGAGAAATTCTTTATAACAATTTAAGTATTCTATTTGCAACCTACTAACATTCAATTTCCTCCCACAAAAATAGTTCCTAAAGTTACTCTGCTTTCAAATGTATTTATTCAGGGAATGTGTTCATTCAGCTAAAACATGCTGAAAATACAGACTACTGTGTCTGATTTGAGTGCAGCAGTTAGAAGTCCACTTGGCAGCAGAAGACAGAGCAATAGTCATGCTCCTAGGTAGGAGACCGAGGCAACAAAATATCAGACAAAAAAATTAGTTTCATAGCATGTGGGTCATTTTCTCTATGAAAACAGTAAGCCACAGGCCATGCAACAGGTTAGAGTTTTCTTCCACACATGCATTCGACAAATACTTGTTGAACACCTGATCCCTATTCTGAGTGCCTGATAGGAAGGAAGCAGACAGGGGCCTCCCTGGTGGCGCAACAAGTTAAAGCACAGCGCTATGAAGTGATGGCAGCTACTGCAACATGAGTTCGAACCCCAGCCAGGCAGGTGACCCATATGACACAGCAGACCTCTCCTATCTCGCCCTCTGCTCATCTTAGCAGTGTATTTCAGTCCATCTGTTCTGCTCCCCATTCTCTCTTCTGAATCTTTCACCCCCACCTCTGACCTGTACCCCAGTTTTTATATGATAAACAAATAAACAACTATTTAAAAAAGAAAGGAGGCAGACAGATGACACCTCTGCTCATAATTTCCTGGGAAGAGAAACAATAAAAAGTGAGTAAGTCAGGAATACATTAGGTGATGCAGAGAAATGAAGTAATCCAATGTAATGAGGGCAAACAGGTGGCTGACAGACTGTGGGATCAGGAAAAGGGGACCAGAGCTGTCAATACAGATTTGGTAGTGAGTAGGAAAGGGAGAGAGGGAGTTAATAAAAGCATTTAATATGATGAAGTCCGCTAAACAAAGCATGTAGAAAGAGAAGAGGCCCAGAAAAGAGGCAAGACAGCAATGGCATATTAAATATTGAGCAGAGGCAAAAGAACAGCCAGGAAAGAAAAGGGAGGGAAACCCAAGATAAGATGCAGCCATGAAAGCCCAGAGAAGAAAGCATTTCAAAACAGGGTTGATCTACTGTTGTTTTCTTTAAAGATTTAGTTATGCATATAAGAGCTGGGCTGTAGGCCAAATGCGCAGAGGGTGAGAGGATTCACCAGAGACAGAGGGGGGAGCAGAACAGGCAGATCTTTTGAAATACAATGCTGAGGGGACTGTGGGGAAGACAGGAGAGGGCTGCTGTGCTATGTGGGTCACCTCCCTGGCCAGGGATTGAACTCATGCTGCAGTGGCCTGTAACCCCGTGCACCACCGGGAGGCCCTAGCCTAGACCAGAGCAGCAACTCGTGTACGTGTCAACCTGGAGTAATTGTGACTTTAACAAGCACTCTGGGAGGAAGGGGGAAAGAGAAGTCTAAAGAGAGGTGTTGCAGAAGTTAAAGATAGCGAGCACTAGTAATCCTTCCAGAAAGTATTACTACGAAGAGGCACAGAATAGAGAAATAAACAGAGAGAGTGAAGTCAAAGACTGGTTTGACTTAAATGTTTCTAGAGTATGTCTGGTACTAATGGAGAAGATGCTGAGTTTAAGGGGGGATAACTGCAGAACTGATAATCGGGGAGAAAGAGAGTGAGAGAGTGGGGAGAGGACACCCAGCAAATGGAGATGTGGGCTTAGAAGCTGCCACAGTCAGACCTGAATCAGGAAAATCATCTAAACAGTTAGACGTCATGGAATAGAGCCAAGCCAATAGGGGAAAGTGAGAAAATCCAGAGATAAGCAACAGCGAGAAAATGTTTCCTTTCTGGGCTCCAGGACAATGGACAGAGGTACCCTGGCACCAGAGGCATCTGATGGGACCACAACTATGCCATGGATGAGGCACAGCCCTGCCAGAGGTGCCACCAAGGCCCAGAGTGAGTGAAAGAAACATCCAGGTCTCTCCCTTCCTCAAATGCACGTCAGATCCCCCCACTGGCTGACACTCAGTCACAAGCTTGGACACCAAAGAAATACAGACCACAGAGCTCAGGGCCCACTCCATGCCCAACCTGATACTGAGCAGGGCCAGGAGGACAAGGAATGTATTTTAAGTCTCAGACCAACACAGAAGCAGGGACAGAAGTGTCTGCCTGAGAAGCAATGTTCGTAGTTGAAAAGAGGGAAGACTGAGATATGACAAAGAAGTGGTGTGGGACGGTTGCTTTGGAGAAATTGTTTTAGATTTCAATGAATTAATGTTGAAACCTTGACTTTAAAAAATAGAGAAGGCTGTAAAATTTAACACCTTCAAGTTTCACACTATGGACTTAAACTAAGACAGGGACCAGATTACAGATCTGCATTTTGACTATGATGATGTTACAATAGTGAATGATAAAGAGGGTCACTAGGATCCCCAAAGGGATGATGATTTACCTTTTTGGAGGCATAATCATTTACTTTAAGGAAAGATTTAAATCTGAAAGTTAAAACTTTTTTTGTATTTCAAAGTAAAGTTTTTCTTAATTTCACGAATCTATTGTTTCCCATAAGTGTGTACATTTTGGGGTTGTGCCTTCTCTTCTGTGTGCGTATCACCTCAGCCACAACCCACAACCAAAGTCCTTCCTGCTATCATCTCTACTCTTCCCTCTTACCTCTGATAACCTTTTTTTTTACAAAGTTTATTAAGAATAATTTTTGATGAGCTTTGTTAGTTTTTTTGCTTTGGTTATTTATATTCCACATATGAGAGAAACTATCTGAAAATGGTCTTTCTCTTTCTGGTTTATTTCACTTTATATCATCACCTCAATTTCCATCGATGTTTTGGCAAGAGGCAAGATTTTATGAAGGTTAATAATTTAATAATAAGCCTTTCCATAACACATTTTCCACATTATAGAATTTTGATATTCATTGAAATAATGGATCCTAAAATAACTCAATTTTGTTTTGTTACTTGTGAATTTCTATTGAACATTGTGCGCAGGCTTAAGACAAGTTTTATTTGTACAAGAAGAGGTTTGGTTTTTTTTTTTTAATAAGTCATGGCCACTTATTCTTTCTTTCCCTAACTTATTATTGTTTAAGTCACCACTGTCTAGTCGCAGAATATTTTTATCACATCCTCACGAAACATGTACCTATCATCAGTCACCCCTTATTTTTTCATTGTCCCTAGATCTTGGTGACCACTAATCTATTTTCCACCTCTATGAATTTGCCTGTTTGGGACACTTCATATAAATGGAATTATACAATATGTGGCTTTTGTATTTGATTTCTTTGCATAATATTTTCAAGGTTCATGCATTTTATAGTATGTATCAGTCTTTGTTTCTTTTTAATGTCTAAGTAAGATTTAATTGTATGGATATACCACATTTTGTTTATTCGTTCAGCTGATAATAAATTCCTATGGAGTTTAATATATAGCACACTGTAATAATAGAGATAAAACAATATTAAACCCTTTTCAGTAACTGTTGGTGAAAAGCACCCACTTTTTGTCTCTATGAGCCACCATAAGAACTTGCAAAAATGTAGATGAACTGTTTATCCTTGCATATATCATATATCAGTAAATACAATATATTTTACCAACTTAGTGTGTAGAAAAAACAAACCCTGGAAAGCAAGAGCTTGAAGAAAAACATTCTAGATAATCCTCCTACCTCTATACCAAAAGGCTTAATATCAGAGAAAGTTCACATACGTAAAAGGGTCAGTCCTCAGAGGGAGGATCCTGTTGGATTCGCCTGGAAGTAGTTCAAAACTTGGTCCCTTTTCATCTATGCAGTTTGCAGAATTACTGTCGGGGCTGCAGCGTACCCATTCATATCTGGCTCTCCTCATAGGAAAACCTGCCCAAAGAAGGAACCCACATGGTTAACACATTATCTCTTAGTTCCTCATTGGCTAAGAAATTTTAAATTTAACAGATTCTAAGTTTGGTAGACAGTAGGTGTGGACAAATTTCATGGTTTTTAATATAACAGGAGCATCCACAATGCCAACCTTGCTCATCCTTCTCATGATACCCATATAGACCAGAATTTAAGGTTAAAATAAACTATATAATAATCAGCTGCCTGGAGTGAAGTCCCAGCTCTGTTACTGGTGAGCTATGAAATCTGATCGCCCTCATTCCCCACTATAAAACAAAGTTACTAATAGCAACTCTTTTCATAAAGTAATCACCAAAATGAAACAAGAAAATACATGCCAAGATCTTAACATACAGTATATACACTTGATACTGTTATCTATCTGTTGTTGCTATTGTCTATAACTTACACAAAGAAAAATGACAAGGTGCAATGCAAGTTAGAAACCCAGGATTCAAATCTGTATCTGACCACAAACCCTGCCTCTTACAGAGACAATCCCAATCATGTTCAGAAAGGTTAAGAAATACACCAGTAGTACCTGAGATATTACTAAATCCAAATTTGTTAGGGTCGAATGGAGTACTTTGGATTGAGAAGTAGATGCCTGTCTCTTTACATTAACATCTAGTCAAATATTTCAAAAAAACATGGCCCTTCTATTCATAAAGGGACAAATAAGTTGGAATATATATTTTACCAACTTAGTGTGTATAGTGTAAAACTTCTTTGAGTTTAATTTCTATGGAAATGGCTTCAAACATGTTGTGGTGTTATATTGAATTCATTAGCTCATAAAGTCACCTCTTCATTTGCTGCACTATAGTGTAGCAAAGAAGGAGGCTGGTTGTGAGATATAATTCCACACCCTCAAAAGGTTCATTCTTTCCCACACCAAACACAGCTTTGTTCACACAAGTGTTGTTAAATAATCATCTAGCAAGGGACAGGTCTACATCTTAAAAGACAGTAGAGGTGATTCAAAGTCTAGCACATTGTGGTCCTGTACACGTCAGATCAGATACAGACAAAGATAAAACAGTGCTATGGAAAAACACTGTGGAATTATTTTGCAACAGCAAAAGACTGGAAAACTAAGCATCCATCAGTCACAAACTGGTTAAGTAAATTAAGATATAGCCTGCAATACTGCATAGCTATTAAAAGAATGACACATCTTTCTGGGTACTGATATAGAATAATCTCTAAGGTATATTATTTAGCCCAGAAAGCTAAGGGATACTCTGCCTTATGTGTCACTGTGTATGCATGTAAAAATACATTCCTATAATGCTTATATGCTTGGAACACCTCTGAAAAATATAAAACAAACTTTCTTTGTGGAGGGAATTGGTGGAAGGCAGTGGACAGGACACTGACTTGTCACTTCCTATCCTTTTGACCCTTTTGATTTTTAAGTCATATGATATGCACTACTTATTGAAAATTACTTTCATTTTTTAATAGCACCATTAAGGTAGGATTGACATATTCTATAAACTGTATTTATTAAAAGTGTACAATGAATATTTTGACATATGTATACACCCCTGGAACGATCGCGACAATAACCATTAATCTGCTTTCTATCAGTATAGATTAATTTGCATTTTCTAGAATTTCATGTAAGTAGATTCATTAACAACTCACCAAAGGTTTCCTGATTTTTAACTTAGGGACCAGTAGAAAAGAGACTCTGCCATTTATAGAACTCTCTCCTTGAAATAGAGAGTCTGTTTGGGGTTTTTACATCTAATCTGCTAGTATTGCAGTTTTTAACATTGTTAATATTTTTATTAGAAAAGGAATAAATATAGGTTCATATAGAAAATCTTGGAAAATGTAGAAAATAAAAGAAAAATTACCCTTAATCTTAGTACCCAACACCCCAAAGATCCTCATCATGCCTGCTCTTAATAGCTGTATCATATTGTCAACTTACTTAAACTTCCTAGAGCTAAATTATTTCATCCATTAAATAAGTCTACCTAAAAATGAGACACAAATGTTCAATTTGAGAACAGTACCTAGCTCTATAGTCAGAGCTCTCTAACTACTAGATTTCTGGCAAGGAAGACAGTAATGACCTATCTCTGATATTAGGTAATTTATAGGAAAACAAGAATTTAAATTCCCATCCATCATTCATTAACATCCTCTGATAGTCCAGAATCTAAACACCCATTCTATATACAACATAATCCCTCTCTGTTTCCAAATTTCTCAATTTCTACATGAGAATAGTATCTCAAAGAGTTCCTGTTCAAGTGAGATACAAGTATGTGAACATATATGTAGATGATAGGTATATAATATATTTAATCTTCGATAGGTATATAATATATTTGAGCTCCTTTTGTCTCCTTTTCTGAATATTTCCTAAAGCAGCATAAGTTTGGCATTTAATTGCTAGTTAGCAGCCTCTTCTGGATGGGATAAAAATATCTAGCACCGGGCCCTCCCTGGTGGCGCAGCGGGTTAAAGCACAACACTGAGAATCTAGAGCCGCTTCCGCATGAGTTCGATTCCCGCTTGCCCTGGAGGTGACCACATGGCGCGGCAGACCTCTCCTGGCCCGCCCGCTGCTCCCCTCAGCAGTGTACTTCGTGGATCTGCCTGTTCTGCTCCCCACTCTATCTCTGGTGAAGCCTCTCGCCGCCCCTGAGCCTCTGGCCTGTACCCCAGTTCTGTACGCACAAATAAATAAATCTTTAAAAAAAAAAAAAAATATCTAGCACCTGCTCCAGTAGAGGGCAATGTCTTCATGTCCTATACCATCCTAGACGCTGTCCACTAGGAACATGAACCACTGTGCAATCGTCTTAAATCAGCCATCGTCTTAAAAACAGACAAATAATTTTAATGCATTTTACTCAGATTGGTATGTTCAGATATCGTCATTTAAAAGTCAATCTAGAAGTTATTAATGGGTATTGTACACTCCTTTTTCATACTAAAACTTCAAAACTGGTGTCTATTTCACACCAGCAGCATATCTCAGTTTGGATTATATTTCACACATTTCAAGTGCTTAATGGCCTGCGGTGGCTGTGGCTCCCATTTTGGGCAGCTTTGGTATTCTCTACCTAGGGCTGATGTTCTGAAGAGCAAACTGAAGAAATGTTTGCACAGATAGAAGTTAAACAGGTAAGTAAAACTGATACTTTCTGATGATATTTGCATGATGTAGCAAATACAATGTTGGTAAATGTGTATAAAAAAATCTAAAACTGGGCTCTCCCTGTGGCTCAAAGTGTTAAAGCACAGCACTATGAAGCTTTCAGAAGCCACTGCAGCATGAGTTCGATCCCCTGCCAGGAAGCTGACCCACATGGTGCTGCGGACCTCTCCTGACCCACCCACTGCTCCCCTCAGCAGTGTGTTTCATACATCTGCCTGTTCTGCTCCCCACTCTGTCTCTGGTGAATCCTCTCACACACCACAGTTCTGGCCTGTACCCCAGTTCTGTAAGCATCCATAAATAAAATTAAAAATATATATATATAACTTAACCCAGCATTCTCAACTTTTAAAATGTATAAAGAAGAGCTTCTCTTTGGTAATGCAAGTGTTCTAAAACTGACTATGGTGACAGGTGTGTGTGTGTGTGTTTGGTGTGTATATCAGTAAATATGCTTTATTTATTTTTTAAAATTCTTTTAAATATTTTACATTATTCTTCCTTTTTGTATAATGCATCTTTCTCATCTCAGGTGTACTCTCTGTAAAATTCCTACCACCAATTCACCTGTACACCATTGCCATTGTGTAAGAATACATTTCCTCCCTTCTTTTGAAAGAAATACATTTATTTTCCTCCCCTCTCCCTCACCTTTCCCTGAAGTGTTTCTGATTAATAGTTGCCTGTTGGTTTTGTTTTTAAATTTATTATAATTATTTTTTGTCCTGGTCCTTTGTTTGGTTCCCCTACATTCCTCCTATAAATGAAACAATCCAATATTTTTCTTCTTCCATCTCTGCTTATTCATTAAGCATAATCTCTTCTGGCTCCATCCATGTCACTGAGTACATCTTTTTTGATTGCTGAATAGTATTCCATTGTGTAGATCTGTGAATATACTTTTTTAAAATGTTGAATTATATAATGTAAATGGTGTCTAAACTCTATCAATAAAATTGTTTAAAATGATGTAAAAATAAACTGTTATAAAAATTGTTTAAAATTTTATAAATCACTCCAAAAGTCTATTTAATTTGGGAATGATGACTTTAAATCTACTTTTAATAACAAGAATATGATTACAGACACAAAATTCCTAAAATACTTGGTTAAGGTTATTGGCAGGATATGAAAATTCAACACTTCGAACCTCTGAGGTTGTGGGAGTACCTTACTGTTATCTTGCTTAGAAGAAATGTCATGATTATCATAATTAAAACGATAAAAGGGAGTGTTATAAACTAATTTTTAAATATCAAAATTTATTCCCTTTTTCCTTCCATTTTAAACAAAAGGAAGAAAAAAAGGATAAATTAAAAATTTGTGGACAGAAAGGTTATCTTCCCACTTATAGGATCTGCTAGTTAATTTTGTAGTGGGTTTTAGAGTAAAGGATGGACGAACATCCCTGGTGGCACAAGAGGTTAAAGCACAGCGCTATGAAGCTATCCACAGCCACTGCAGCATGAGTTCAATCCCCAGCCAGGGAAGTGACCCACATGGTGCAGCAGACCTCTCCTGTCTCACCCGCTGCTCCCCTCAGCAGTGTATTTCAGTAGATCTGCCTGTTCTGCTCCCCATCCTGTCTCTGGTGAATCCTCTCCCTGTCCCCCATACCTCTGGCCTGTACCCCAGTTCTATATGCATAAATAAAACCTTTTAAAAATTAGAGAACAGGGTGGGTTTTACTTAGAAACCCTTTCCTCACTGCCCACCCACCTGCCCCCACACATATAGTCATTAGTTCTGCTTCACCAATACTCTTTCTATAAATAAACATCTCCAGAACAAAATACTTACCCCAGTAATCTTTTTTTTTTTGCTTAGTAATCTGTCTTTTAACATTGTAATATAAATTTTCCCCAACACCATTACGTTTTATTAATTTCAATTGTAAACTTGTAGGTGAGTTAGAGAAACTTAAGCAGAAGTTTCCATGGTGGGGGTGGGAGAGCACCATTTTGATTCATTGTTCAGTAACATACAGCCATCACTCTCTCAGAGTTACTTTCTAGTGGGCTATCAACTCCACCAGAAGGATATGGTTCTTGCATGGCTTGTCAAGCTACAAAAAGTTCTAGGTTAATTTCAAATTCTCTCTCTGCCCCTCAACAGAATGACAAACTTTATAGCTAGCGCTAAAAAGGGAAGACTTTTGTTTTGTATTAAAGAAAGCCTTTAATTCACCTAGTAGACCTCTGAGTTGTAGTATAAAGTTAACTCTCACCTTGAAATCATACCAATTCTGTCATTGATTAGTTATAATGAGGCTTGTCAAGTCTCAGAAATTTTTCTAACAGGTTGATATAAAGAACAAATAAGATGATGAATGTAAGATCATGTTTTCCCCTCTGTAAACTGGTGATCTTTCCTCCTCGCAGGGAGGTGACGAATGTTATAGATCACGGATATGAAATCACTCTACCAAGGAACAGCAGCCCACACGGATGTGAGAGGTGTCACTCCTGTGGTCTCGTGGGTAGTGTGAACAGACACGTGACAAGGTGCTAGAACCCTTGGTCACACTAACTGTAGAATTTCCATTTTCTCTTTGGCAAAATAGAGGCAATACAAGAGTCCAGGATTCACAGGCCTTATCAATAACCCCCTGGATCTCTACATTAAATCGATTAGCCCTCTCTTCTCTCCATGGTCTCACATGGTAACAAATTTCAATTTCTTTGCATTTGATTAAAATGGTCTCGTGCCATATTAGGATTTGACTTGTAGTAACCTACATGTGCTAAATTGTGTCCCTGCCATTCATATGTTGAAGTCCTAATTCCCGGGTCCTCAGAATGAGGACAGCTGTAAAAGTTTCTTGAGGGCCCTCTCTGGTGGTGCAACAGTTTAAAGTGCAGCAATACAAGCTAGCCACAACCATTTCAGTATGAATTCAATCCCCTGCCCCGGAGGTGATCCATAACATGCAGCAAACCTCTCCTGTCTCACCTACTGCTCCCTTCAGCAGTGTACTTTGTTAATCTTCCTATTCTGCTCCCCACTCTGTCTCTAGTGAAGATTCTCACCACCCCACACCTCTGGCCTGTACCCCAGTTCTGTATGCATGCATAAATATATCTTTTTTTTTTTTTTTGAAAAGAGTTTATTGAGACAAAATGAGGTCTGTAGGGATGAGTACTGATCTACCATGACTGGTCTACCTGAAGAAGAAGAGATTGAGACAGATACACAAAGAGAAAGAAACTTGCAAAGACACAGCCATATCGAAGCCAAGATAAGAGGCCTTGGCATGACACCTGCCAACACTTTGGACTTCCAGCATCCAGAACTGTGAGCAAATGAATTTCTTGTTTGACTCCCCAGTCTGTGGTATTTTGTCATGGCAGCCCTAACAAAAACTAGCGCAGACACGTAGATGTTTTGAAAAAGCTCAGTAAAGCAGGCCAAAGGCTAGTTAATTCAGGCAAACCAATGACTTAAGGAAAACTTTTAAAGTGGGGAAACCTATCCATCATCTCTGACACTCCATGGATATACAGTGGGACATGGCTTTCTGCACTGCAACCTTGAGCTGCCAACACACTCACACAGCTGTTTTCCTTTTTATTCAGATTTGGGCACAAGTCCTTAATTTCAACACCAAATGCTCTTCTCCTTTGAAAACATCCTAGTTTTTCAGTTTATTCATTCTCTTTTTTGGTTTCCTTTCCCAACAAAGAGTTAAATCTACCAGGTGATGACATAAATTCCAGTACTTTATACAATTTCATGGGGGCTTCTTCACTTCTTTCTTTTGAATATCTAGTTCATAAAAGATATGATAAATACATAAAAGACGTCTTTGGTTGTTTTTTCTTAAAAATTTATTTACTTATGCATACAGAATCGGGATATAGGCCAGATGTGTAGGGGCGGTGAGAGGCTTCACCAGAGAGAGAGTGGAGAGCAGAATAGGCAGATCAATGATGTACACTGCTGAGGGGAGCATCCGGTGAGACAGGAGAGGTCTGCTGCACCACGTGGGTCACCTCCAGGCTAGGGATCGAACTCACACTGAAGTGGCTGCAGCTAGCTTGCAGTGCTGCACCCTAACAACTTGTGTCCCCTAGGGAGGGCCTATGTTTGTTTTAATTCTAGCATAACCTATTGACTCTTAGTGAGGAAGTTGAACTTTCTGGGAAATTTTGAAGATATAAAGACTTACATAATTATGGTCTTGATAGGCCCACCACCTCCAACTGGTCATTCAAATCTGTGCTGTAAACATGGACTCCATGTCTCAAAACCCTGTCAAAGTAAAACCTGTTCCCTACAGTCAACAATGTTTCACACTTTTAAAGAAAGTTTCAGCAACATTAGTTGCTCTTTATCTTTAAGATTAGCAGAGCAGGCCCTCCCTGGTGGCGCAGCGGGTTAAAGCACAGCCATTTCCTCATGAGTTCAATTCCCGCCTGCCCTGGAGGTGACCACATGGCATGGCAGACCTCTCCTGGCCCACCCGCTGCTCCCCTCAGCAGTGTACTTCATAGGTCTGCCTGTTCTGCTCTCCACTCTGTCTCTGGTGAAGCCTTTCATCGCCCCTGAGCCTCTGGCCTGTACACCAGTTCTGTATGCACAAATAAATAAATCTCAAAAAAAAAAAAAAAGATTAGCAGAACAAGAAGAAAATATATATATATATGACTATATATATTTCCAAGACTTAATGAATGTATCTGAGATCACCTGAATCATTTCTATCACTTCTATCAATATAAATAGGAAAATCAATATAAATAGTGACAATATGTGTTACTATGACTTAATATTTCCTTTGTGACCTGGGGCAACTTAACTATATTTCTAGTGTAAATTCTCCAATCTACTCATCAGTTCTTTTGTCTTATTTAGACATTAGTCTACATTTACGAAAGGAGAATAAATTGTGTTTTCTTACAATCTGATCATTTTTATTTTCTTACTCATTAAAAGTTTTAAATTGTGGCCCTCCCTGGTGGCGCAGCGGGTTAAAGCACTACACTAAGAAGCTAAAGCCACTTCCGCATGAGTTCAATTCCCACCTGCCCCAGAGGTGACCCACATGGCACTGCAGACCTCTCCTGACCTGCTTGCTGCTCCCCTCAGCAGTGTACTTCGACGATCTGCCTGTTCTGCTCCCCACTCTGACTCTGGTGAATCCTCTCATCACCCCTGACCTCTGGCTTGTACCCCAGTTCTGTATGCATAAATAAATAAATCTTAAAAAAAAAAAAAGTTTTCAATTGTTTCTGAGTCAACAGCCCTAATAACAGAAAAACCTAACAAGAAAATTTCCAAATGTGATATTTCTCCAAGCAACAGGAGATACTAAAATCCTTTGCTTTTTTTTAAAATCGGAGAGGGTTTGCATTTAACCATGTCTAACCACAACTGAATTTTCACTAAGAACCAAATTTTAAAAAGAAGAAAACATACACGCAATTACATCTATACCGATTTTAAAGATAACATTTCCTGGTGTTACAGTCATTACAAAACCATTCAGTACATTAAAACTTGGGGTTGATGTAGACACTGAGGGGCAGTACATACCCCAAAACACTGGGGAAGGCATCCCCACACCACGGGCACTGAGGTCATGTGAGTATTCCTTCCTTGAGCCTTTAAAAATTTTCTTCCATGTGTGGCTTATAAATGTTATCCAACAGCCCATTTCAATCATTGAAAGAATTCACAAGACCACACCCACCACAGGTTTAATTTTCCTTGGTACCAAACTCACACTAAGCAGTTCAGGCCCTCCAATGTCTCTTTTCTTGGCCCATTTTCCCACAATATTATACCCCTGTACCTTAACTGAATATGATAATTTGTGTGAAGTTTAGGACCTATAAAAAAAAGATTACAGGGGGGTGCAACTCCTGGTTCTTACCTTGAATGGAAGAATCCAAAACCAGGATGAGGGCCAGGGCCAGGACAAGCCGTCTACAGTGAAGGAACACCTGCATGGTGACCAGCTCACTTCAGTTCCCAATACCTCGCACGTCAAACTCACAATGAGGAAATGTAGCAGGGTGTTCTCTGTCCCTTTTAGAAAAAGTTCCAAAACCTCAAACCCTGCCCAGAACACACGTCACAGTTTCCTGAACAAATAGAAAAACTCTACATCAAAACCCAGAATGATTGGGAGTGGGGGTAGGCAGCAGCAAAATAACTATTCATACCCATTATGAAACTGTACTGGACTCTCCCCAGGCCTGAATTTTCAAAGTTTTGTTGTTTGCCACTTGCCTGTTAGAAAAATTTCCCACTAAAACAGTAGAATCAGCATTTGGTACAGTTTATTTTTCCTTTCTTCAGGTAAACGGCTGAACACAAGATAGCTAACCTCGAACCCACTTCACTGGAGGAGAAAAGGGAGCTGGGTTTGGGGGGGGAGGGGGCTGCCTTGTTATCCCTGAGCACCTTCAGCGTAAAAATATCTTCACTTTCTTTTTCCTCAGGAGTTCCTGGAGTCAAGCTCAAGAAGTGAAACTTCACTTCTGACTTCTAATCTACAAGACAGAGTTGCTGGATTTCAGATAAATGGTTTCTCCTTTTAGACTCAGTAACTCCCATTGGTTCACAGGCTCTCCCTCTAACTTGAGACTATAATAAGGATTTTGGTTCCCCTCCTCCTTGTGAGAAAGACAGAAATCTTTTGCCTCCCTCTACACCATAGTCGGTATTTCTTATGATGTGATTCCATTTACTCTTTTGTCTTTTCTCCTGGTGAAATTTTTCAATTTGATTTTTTTAATCCTCTGGCCGTCAACAAGCCAGAAATCAAGAACAAGGGGATGTTGTTCTCTCAGTAGGCTGGTGGGGCTCAGAAAACACACAAAGCCCTGACTCCTGTAAATAAAGGAACTGCATTTGCCCTGGGCCTGGGACAGGAAGCAGACTCCTGGTGACCTCCGAAGGCCAGGTACCGCTTCCACATAAAGTCACACCTTAAAAACCCTACTTCTTGGGCCGTCCCTGGTGGCACAGCGGGTTAAAGCACTGCACTAAGAAGCTTAAGCCACTTCAGCATGAGTTCGATTCCACCTGCCCCGTAGGTGACCACATGGCGAGGCAGACCTCTCCTGACCCGCCTGCTGCTCCCCGCAGCAGTGTACTTCGTCCATCTGCTTGTTCTGCTCCCCACTCTGTCCCTGGCGAATCCTCTCACCCTCCGCATCTCTGGCCTGTACCCCAATTCTGTATGAATAAATAAATAAATCTTAAAAAAAAAAAAAACCCTACTTCCTTTCTTTGAGGCACTTGTTTTTTCCTTTCTTCCTTTCAAGTCCACTCACTCTCTATTTCAACACTGTTTCTACATGGCCACTTTCCATTTTCATCCTCATTCTTGTTGGCCTTTGACAGGAGGGAGGAGTTTCCCTTCTCTTGTTTTTGGTTTCCTGCTGATTCCTTTACCATTTCCTGCTAAGGACGGGCCTCAGAATCTACGTGCTGTGTAGCTGTGGTGCAAATCCACAAAGATTACCAAGAATACACATGTTGACCCTCCTCAGAGCCCCCCAGAATCAGCTGGGAGCGTGTCTGGGAACTCTTCTAGGTACAGTAACCAACCCCCAAACTCACGAACCAAGCAAATTCCCCACTACGGAATATTGATTTCAGCTTGAAATAACAGCCCTCCTCTTTGGTTCCTTTTAACCGTCTCCCCCAATTAAAAACCCTGGCATCAAAACAATAGTCCCTGCCAATAACTTCAATAACTTCTCTGCAAAACCTCAGAGCTGATTAGAGCTTGTGCCTTACAATGGTAATTTTGGAGGCTTTTTCCACTTGGGTAATTCATTTTTTCCCCTCCTCTGGGTCATGGCAATTTAAAAAAAATGGCAGCACTCATAATAAGCATTCACCCACAACACTGACAAGCAGGAGTTTCTTAGTCCAAAGAGTTTCATGTTCTGGCCCCCTTCCAGTTTCATTTCTCTAGTCCTCTTCAAGAGATGGAGGAGCAGGGCACGTTATATGGAACCAGAAGCCAGGGTGCATGCAAGTCTCCCACATCTACCAGCAGAGAGCTGGATCACCCACTCCACACTCCCATCCTTCTAGTCAAAGGATGGTGTGGAAAACCAAGGAGATGTCCATAAAAGCACTCAGCACCCCCTGGAGTGTTGGTAACACTCCTTTGTTCTGGGTACCATATTTCTGCTCAGTGTTTCCTCCATGAACCAAAGAGGACCCATGGGAACTCCCCTGCCTTTCCCAAAGCCTCAACCTCTATAATATACATTTTCCATGGTTTTAAAAGACACATTAATTTCCAGACTTATCCTTCACTAGCCTAGCCACCGTAATGCATCTACTTCACTGTACATTCAATGGATTTACCTGTACAATGGGCATCTTTGTTTTTTACAATCACTCTGGAGCAGGACAGAAATCAGGTCCTTTTGCTTAAGAACATAAGCAGTGCCCTACCCACCCCTCCCCCAACACACACACTATAAACATGACTTTTTTTTACTAAGTATTAGTTTCAGGGTGATTTCTGGGTACACTTGAACTTTCCCAGCATCACAACTCAGCAGAACACTTAAGATGAATTGAGGTTTTCAGAAGAGGTACTGAAGGCAGCTCGAAGTGGTTCCAAGACTCATTTCTTTTCTAAAGTTCAGAGTTTAGGATTCTGCAACTCAGCAGCTCCTGGGACTTTCTTGTCTTTTCACAGAGAAGGTCTTGACTTTGAACTGGGCACTGCACCAAGAAAACACAGCAAATGGATCCTGAACCAAATCTTTAGGTCTCTGGAGGCTCCCAGGATGACCCTAGCTGTAGTTTGTTTCTAGAACTGGAAGAGATGTTTGAAGTCATCTACTTCGTCCACTCACGTGGGAAAAGAACAATCCAGAAAGGCTTCATGCTTTGCCATTGGTCATGAAGCCAGCTAGTTGCAAAACCAGGTCTAGAACTCAACTTTTCTGATTCAAAGTCCAGGGTCAGATAAAGAATGGCCAGGAAACAAGATTATGATTTGCAAATCATCATCTGAAGTCTTTCCTCTTTTTTAAAGAGGAACATAGGGGTCCAATGACTGGAATTATTTTCATTTCAAACAAAAAACTACTCCCTATGTACTTTAGGAAAAAAGAATAAAAGGAAGACTTCTGATGATTTCTAATTTTTTTTATGCATACAAGAACTGGGGTCAGAGAAACCTCTGTCTCCCTTACCCCTCACCAGAGGCATAGTGGGTACACAACAGGCTGACTGACTGAAATACACTGCTGAGGGGACAGGGCAACACAGGAGAGGTCTGCTGCGCCATGGGGGGGTCACCTCTCTGGCTGGGATTGAACTCAGATCTTAGCGGTGACAGCACTGAGACTTAACCCCTACAATGCCAGGGAGGGCCAAGGATCCCCTCTTATTAAAGATCTCAATGGCCTAGTCCAGAAACCTCTTGTGGTGTTGTCCAGTACAAGTTTTTTGAACTTTAGTGTTTCCATCTTGGACAGGTAAAAGGAGAGAGGAAGATTTGACAAGAAAAATGAAAGGCAGCAGTTATGTAGGAAACTACTGTACTTTTCATCCAATATTACAATGAACTCAAAACTGCTTTAAAAAATAGTTTTTATAAGTCATAAAAAAACTTGTGAAACATGACCTTGAATCTAGAAAACTATGACATTCCAATTCCAAAATTACAGGGCTTTGAAGAACCAACAGTTACTCTGGAAAAGCCACAGACTAAATGTTATTGATATAAATAACTGAGAGCAGGGGGTGTTACTTCTCTTGAGTCTGTTTTCACAGGCATCAGAAATATTGGAAGCAAATATCTTAGAAAGATATCCAGGCAGAAGGAAATAGGTATACATTTGGATTAAGGGAAGCCAGGCTGTTTGAAAATAATTTTTTAATTATTTTTAAGGGACATCTTTAATTTGTTTCTTTCCCAAGATAATCTAGCAATACTATTCTAAATTATTTATTGTATTTAGTAAATTGTCTTTTCTAACTAGAAAATTAATGGGTGCATAGTGTAGAGAAAGAGCGTGAGAGGATCCTACAAGAAAGGACAAGCCACCCTTCTCCTGCTACTGTGGTATAGTAACAGGCACCCGAGGAGGTCTGAGTCTGTGCCTCTGAATCACATACAGTGATGGAAACTAACATTACCTCAATGGGGGGAAAAAACATAAAAAGGTAACTAAAAGAAAATTTTAAAAAGACAAAGGGGCCCTCCCTGGTGGCGCAGAGGGTTAAAACACAGCACTGAGAAACTAGAGCCACTTCAGATGAGTTCAACCCCTGCCTGCCCCGGAGGTGACCACATGGCGCAGCAGACCTCTCTTGACCCGTCAGCTGCTCCCCTCAGCAGTGTACTTCATCAGTAGGCCTGTTCTGCTCCCCACTCTGTGTCTGGTGAATCCTCTCACTGTCCTGGTACCTCTGGCCTGTACCCCAGTTCTATGTGGATAAATAAATAAATCGTAAAAAAAAGACAAAAGAACAAATCCTTTGTCACCTTCTAACCAGGCATTACCACTATCATATTCTGACTGGGAATTCCAAGAGGCACAGACCATTTACCAATATAATACTATTACTACTTCTACTAGCTCATGGATATGAAAGTGAGGTTCCCTCTCATCTCCCCTTATTGCCTTTGGTATAAACCCTGCCCATGTTACTACCACATGTCCCCAGAAGTAACTTGGTTATCGATTCCAAACAACCCTATAACACTTCCATCAACCCACTACCTCAAGTCTCTGAGCTCTCTCTACAGATAAGCAAACTATCTGAGCGCTCCAACGCCAAGGATGACCTTTCCTAAGCTTCACAACCCAGCCTCACTCCTACTCCCCCAAACACATGTGCCTCAATTCTACTCACCTACCTGCAGCTGTATTCACCAGTCATTGAGGAAGAGGGAAGTTCCCCTTCCTCAGAACTTCAACGACCTTTTGATTTCAATCCTCTGAGCCTGACCACACTTCCCAATTAAGTTACTACACTTTAGTTTGATTTTTTTTTTTTTTTTTGCAAACTCTAATTCTTTTCTTTGG